AATGGCTGACACCAACACTGTCCTTTACGTTGACCCAGTATAACGAGAGCTTTATTTCAACTCAATGAAGCGACACATTTTAATATGATAGAAAAATTATAAGATTTATAAACGATAATTTGATGTTCTTTAATCGGATTTCAATATAGGTTGGAAAAGCGCATAGGTCGTGGACTGCCAGGAGTGGTATGTTCGGGAACTTTATAGTTACTCATCTCATCTGTAAGAAGCGTAGCTTGCGACCTTAAATTTTAAATGAAAGACCCAGGGGGAGTAGAGCAGAGCATAATTCCTTTTTGTTTTCTCCTCACATTCGTAAAAATAACGTTGAAAAAACAAACGTGTTAAGCATAGTCATCGTTTTGGCCCTACCCACTCTAAACCAATCTATGTATGCAGCTAAATAAGAATAAATTTTGTCTGTGAGCTTGGGATTTTATCAAATTCTCTGGAAATCCATCCGTCCCAACATCATTACCACCTGTAAGGGGATACTAATAACAAAATAAATCGGCCTGTGTAAGGAGGTAAACGGCATCCAGGTTCTACCATTGGATTTATGACCTCCATTATATGGACATGGGGGGTTGGATGGCCGAATGGTTAGCACGTGCGTGCTGTATCATAAAGCCTGTCATTGAGTCAACTAGCGTGGTTTCGAATCCCCGGTTGTACGTGACAAGGAGTAGGGTCGCCTGTCCAACCTCGTGGGTTTTCTCCGGGTCCTCCGGTTTCCTCCCACTGCTAAAGACCCCTACGCGCAAGCGAATTAATGAAATAAAATTAAACCATATGTTAGTCCCGAAATGACCTAGTTTGTGTCGAGTGGACATAAAGGTCCACTTACTAGAATATGTGGCATGAAGCGTATGTTTTAGGCTCGGTTATCCATAATATCTTGAAATATTTTTTTCTTTTGTGGAGATATATCGACTGCCGCTTGCTTTAAAGCTTCCACATGCGTGGTGACTTGTATTTCGCTGGGCTTAAGAATTTAGGAGAGAGGTTAAGTCTCCATATACGCACTGACTTAGGATGATGGAAATTTAGTTCGCGTATGGATCTTATAATACATATAGTCCATGGTTCGTGGTATTTCCTAGTTTTATTATCAAAAAGAAAATATAGATACATTAATCGTGATTATATATACAAGCAGAATTTGACTAAATTAATGTATACATGACTTGTGGAATATGTCGAGCTTCGTTCTTCCGAGTCCCTTGTTACAAATGGCGCTGAAACGCATTATGGTACACGATTCGTGTAGCAATGGTAAAATGTTTATTTTGTTTATTTTGTCTTAAATATTGGATATCAGAAGCCCATCTTTTCCCGGTATGACCAGAACATCAATGTTGATTTAAATTAACAAATAATTCGTGTTTTCAATGTCGAAGACTTTGGATGATATTGGGTTAGAAATTTAGCTACGTTAACCATCCACATAAGCACTGACCGAACGGTAAAAACAGGTTGCCGTTTACATCCTTAAAAGACAGATTTATTTCGTTATCATTATCCCCTTCTAGGCGGTAATCCCTACATATCTCACACCAATCGGGGCGTTGCCTGCACCGAGAACACCTCTCAGCTCAAATTCATGTACATGCCTCTGCATATTTTCACGTTTATATAAGATCAAGGCAATTAACCATAAGGGGTGAAAATGACCCCTCCAGATTTTCTGAAATGTTTTTTGGGTGGTAGCATAACGATGAATATATCACATTTTCATCCCTCTTTATGGTAAATGTTTTATAGAGCTGTTGGAAGACGTTTGTTCCAGACAGATAAAAATTAAATGAAAAATGTCCCCAATTTGTTTTCACAGTCAATACGTTCGTAAGTACGCAATAAGTCATTCGCGGAGATTTTGTGTTTTGTGAATCTATAGAGGATAACGTCTTTCCAAAAATGTGAAAATTGTCTTGGATTATAAATTTAATGCGAATTAAGTTCTGTAAATGTAAAATGATATTGCATTTCTACATACCTCGAATTTAGATTAGTACCAGAACAGGTAGACGATCGTTATTCCATCTGTTTTGATATCCAATAAAAAAAATGGTTTCTCACTCATGGTATCATACTTACAGCATGTTATATTATAGACTGTAAGTTAGCAGCGTGAAGGTTTGTTATACTATACCAGACAAGAATAGTACTGATAGTTAATCGATAATTTATATTGATAGGTAATCGATAGGAATTAATGACGATAATTTATACTCATGGAAGATACCAATATGGTTATTATACCCCAATAAATATTGTCCTTTGTTTTTAAAGAAATGTATTTTTATGCGCGGATCCTGGATTTGTTTTTAGACAATGAGTGCTTTGTGCAGAGACGTGATATAATTTTTTTGCGGGGGTTTCAATGACAGATTTTTAACAGCGGCTGGTCGTTCGGATGGGATGAAAACAGTGGTCCTCTGCATGTAGACATTGAGGTGCACGTAAAATAATCTTTGACAGATGAAATTCTAGGTGTAGGTGGAAACGTAAAATTTCACTCATTTAGCACACCATTAGCGTATTCCGGTCATCAATTGCCCGGTTGGTGTGCAGAATAGGGCGATAACCCCCTTTTCGAGGGTTAGACTTTTTCTGGATGTTAATGGCTCAAAGATAACCGGGAATAAGTAGTTAGATCTTATGTAGAGTAGTTCAAAAATATAAAAAAAAAGGCAGAACAAAATAAATATCTACTTAAATTAGATGCCATCCAAGGTAAAGAAATGGGTTTCGGATAAAAAAGAATAAAAGCTTAAACTACTTATAGTCTCATAGTGAACGTCCAATGTGTCCTATAAACATGCTCTAAATGCCCTATAAAGATTTTCTAATCATCATGTAAGGCTTTTCTAAATGTCTTACAAGAATTAATTATAATTGTTATTTTCTAAAAGCCATTGAGCCAATGACTTATCATTGGACAAACATATATGAAATGTGTACTGGTCGCTAGGCGGCACCTGGTAATTTTCTGTAAAACATAAAGCATAATTGGATCGTTTTTTGGGGTTTTTTTTGTGGGTGGAGGGCGGGGGGGGGGGGGCAAGAAACGTATATATTATTATTATTGGCCTAACCAACAGAAGACAAAAAGTCAAATAGTGCATAGTTTTCTAAAGGTGAATCTTTAGCTACTATGTCAATATTATGTCTAAGGGGGACAAAGAAAATATCAAAATGTTATGTTTGGTCCATTTGTTTATTCTCTAGCTGGCCGCTCACCTCTGGCTTGCTGCTGTGGTTTCGATACCTGGTGTGAGCGTATGTGGCTTGGAGATAGGGGCGCCATCTCAACCTCGTGGGTTTACTCCGGGTACTCCGGTTTCCTCCCACAGAAAAGACCCCTGCGCGTGCGGTAAGTTAATAAACATGAAAAATAAGACTTGTCTGCAATATCACCTTTGGTGGAAGCGGACGTTAAACACTAAGAGCAACAACAAGGATAAAGCAATTTCAACGGCTGGTAATAGTTTAAGAAAAAGTGCGAAATATTTATGGCAAACTGTATGGTATGGACTAAACTATAATTAACTATCAAAATAAGCGTTTTCAGAAAATGTCACAAATTCTTCATTGTCACAATTACAGCGATAAAATTTTCATGAGATAGTTGAAAGATAAACCATTTAGAGGCGCCAAAATGAGGACTAAACACTAAACGCTATTTAAAGGTCATCTAAAGGGCCCCTTCGTTATTTCTCCCTAGCCAGAGATAGAACACCCCATATCACTCCTGACTGGCCTCATATTGAAGTGAGGTGTTGTCCCGAATATAGTGGGTTTACAAAGCATTTTGTTCACAGTTGGGCATTTCTATTTCTTTTTTTTTTTTAAATTTATTTTCAAATCTGCGTTCTGACGAATTATTCAAGAAGGTAGTTGATTTTAATTGAAACTATCCAGAAGGTGTAAACACTGTTGAAGATGAACAGTTCCAGTGGAAGGCTTTATCATGCTGAAGCTTTATAATTGTGTACGCAACTTCAAGACACCATTCCAAAAATTCCGCGGTTGCTTTTAACCAGCCCAGCTAATTGCACGTGTGAACGTCATTTGAAACTGATTAAATCGATCATTTTTATACAATACCATACTTAATGTAAACGTAACCTATATTTACTAAAGTGCGACAGGGTCTCCATGTATTAATGCAACACTAGGGCACTTAAAAGAACCCTTTTAGTCAGTTTAAAATCGAAGAAGAGTAGGCGGAAACTCCTTTATGCAGGCAAAATTCTCTTAGCTTGACCCTCGCCCGGCAACAGCAACAAAAGAAGAAAATGACCGTTATAGTTTTCACAATTATTATTAAAGTAATTTTCAAACAAACAGTGCAAACCTGAATTTATGCCATATAGCCTAATTATTTTCTATTTTTTTAATTCTCATCCAAATCGTTATTTTCGATAAAAGATCTTTGATGTTTAATGCATAGAAACATCGGTTTAATGTATTTTGAAAGAACTACGTTGTACTAGTTCGTCTATTTATAGCAATTCTCTCCCTGTCTCTTTTCTCCCCTTTTGCATGCCCATTTTCGTTGATTTTTTGGTCTAGAATTAACATTTTCTGCCGGGTTTTGGTAAATATTTATGATTATGAGGCGGAAGGATAACAGAGTTATCAGTTTGGTGACGGTGATGATATGTACGGCGAATACATGTAGTTACATGTTTTTATTATGCTTCTTCAAGTTTGTGTATCTCAAAATTTGGTGGCCAACCTGATACAAATTTTAGTGCAAACACATGACTATTTGTTCCTCTGTCTCTAGTGAAAAGCATTCAGTCCATGAAAATTTTTGGAGTTGGGCAAAGTGGCCAGAATTAACATTAAGTTAACGGGGAAATTATGGTGGTCTGGATCCGTTTATTGAAGGCAAAATGAATTTGTCTCCCTTATCTCTTTCTACTTGATCGCGACTATTTTCAAATGTTCTTGTTAATCGAGAAACTAATATTGACCTTTGAACCTGATAACATGGCAGCGATGACAGCAAGCGTAAATCCAGACCTCCAGAATGAACGGAATAAAGCCACTTTTGATCCAATACAATTAACATATTTATTGCATAATGGTCCACAACAAACCAGGCGTAAAAGATACATTCGTAAGTTGATTGTTTTAAAAGTGACAATTCATAAAACTTTCTTTTGTCGAGTGAGACCAAAAGAAGCGTCCCACTTTATGACCCTAGCTAGTTTAGTTTAGTTTTGACATGTACGTTCGCTACGAAACCATTGATTGCCAATGTTTTGTGAGTTTTTCAATGGAAGTTGTATAGATTTTTTGTCGAATGAATCATTTTAAATTTCAAGTTTCCCATTTAAAAGTTTCTGAAGTTTTCCCATTAATGGGTAATTTTAGACCGATGCAGGTCAAACTATGATACTAACGTCAGTGAATAATAATTTGGTCAATTTTTGTCATGTACACGTTTAATATTGGCTTCTTGTAAAATCATTGGAAGTTGTATAGATAATAGAATTGTTAAATTTATTCTCTATTATTTGTAAAATGAAAGCAAAGAAAATTCATTTTTTTTGTGTTTTGTGCAAAGGGCAAAGTTTATTTTTTTTTACCTGGAAAATGCTAACTCATGAAAGGAAAGTTTAAAGTCCACTTGTACAAAACATGATGTTAATATTAAATAGATTGCAGTATATGTAAAATATTCATGTCACTAATATCAACTTACAAGGATTTGAAGGTCAAAAGTGTAAAATATATTTTTTATATATAAAAAGATGAGTAGCTAGGTACATTAAAATTGCATATATTTCAGGTGTTGTAAAATATATTTTACACTTTGGAGCTTAAAATCCATGTAATGTATAAGTTTAAATTAGTGACATGAAATGGTGCAATCTATTTAATATTAACATCATTTTTATTATATGTTTTATTGTGATATCTTTACAATCAATAATTGTGATATACATAAACTCATGATTATACATCCATACATAAGCTTATGTATATCACAATAAAACTATGATCATATATATGGAATCATAAAAATGAATTCTTTTAATATATACTTCTGTAACCCTCAAGAATTGTCAAACTGGCCAGAAACCATAACATTTCACCTTTATAACTTACATGTATATCACTCAGGAATTAAGTATCATCGTTAAATTCAGTCAAAACTCACAGGCTTTCAAAAAAATGATATGATTGCATAGACATGTCCCAATAGTAATCTCAATAACATCAAACCAACCAATTAGATAATTTATATTGACCTATCAAAGAGGTTTTTAAATCATTTAACTTTAAAGATCATTATAAGATTTTCTTTCATTCTGTTTCTTTCACAGAATCTCTAGCATTAAATGATAGAGTTAAACAGAATTTCCGAACATGGACAGAATTATCTCGTGAAGAACGATATGAAGAATCAATGAAAAAATGTATTTACTGTGCTGACCGAGTGAAAGAACTCGGTTTTAAAGATCCTGTTGATATCTATATCTATAATCAGTAAGTACATGAGAGAGAGAGATAGAGAGAGAGAGAGAGATTAACGGCCACTTGACACTTGGTAATTTCGGGACTAACACATCGTTCAACTTTATTTCAATAATTCCCTTGCGCGTAGGAATCTTTAGTAGTGGGTGGAAACCAGAGGACCAGGAGAAACCCCACGTGGTTTGACAGTCACATACAACCAGGGAATCGAAACCACACCGGTTGACTCAATGACAGTCCTTATGATACAGCACGCAGGTGCTAACCATTCGGCCATCCAACCCCCTGTAAGTACATGAAGTCCCTCTGTGAATTATATTTCAATCTTTCATTTCACCAAGTCTTAAGATCTGGTATACCCAAAAAGTTCCGGATTCAGTTCAGTAATATGACCACCAATTTATTTACATATAGGGCACAGCACCCTATTGTATATCGAGTGTCACTCCCCCCTCCCCTGGAATTCATTTCTTTAAAAACTATATATACATCTTATGTATATTATACATAATCTTAATTTTTGGCATTGCTTTAAATGTGTACATAAACCATTAAATTTTCTGTGACCATTTATATAAGACACAAAATATTTAAGACCCTTAAAGTAGGGGTGTCACAATAAGACATTTTTTTTACAAATCATTTCAGGCCAGCAATTTCCAGAGGCGAAATTGCTAGCTGAATACGATTTTTAAATTTTTTTTTATCTATGACGTCATTTTCGGTTGGGGTTTGTCTGATTTCCAAAATGGCCGCCAAAAGTTGACGTAAAATGAATTTCCAGATAGGATGGGTGATTTTCATGCAAAATATGGCTTGTAATATATCATATATAAGTTTTTTGTTGTAATTGAACTGAAAAATAATCTCTAAAACTAGTTTCCCCAAATCCAAGATGGCGGAAATTCAAAATGGCGGCTAAAATTGACCTAAAATGGCCGATTTGTCAGATTAAAGTCATTTCACAGTTTGATTTGGTTTGTAATATGTAATCTAAAGGGGTTTCACTGTCACTGAACTTAAAATTAATCTAAAGAAAAAAAGAGTTTTCAAAATCCAAGATGGCGGAAATTCAAAATGTCGACCAAAATTTATCTAAAATGGCCGATTTGTCAGATAAAGGTCATTTCACTCTTTGATATGGTTTGTAATACGTAATTTAAAGGGTTTTCAATGTCATTGAACTTAAAATCAATCTAAAATAGAGTTTCCAAAATCCAAGATGGCGGAAATTAAAAAATGGCGGCCAGATTTTCTCTAAATTGATCAATTTTTAAGATAATCGTCAATTTTCTGATTGATATGGCTTGTAATATGTCCTCTATTAAGTTTTCAGAGTCACTGAATTTGATAGGGGGGGTTGGATGGCTGAATGGTTAGCGTGCGCGCGCTGTATCATAAAGTCTGTCATTGAGTCGACTGGCGTGATTTTGAATCCCCGGTTGTACGTGGCAAGGAGTAGGGTCGCCTGTCCAACCTCGTGGGTTTTCTCCGGGTCCTCCGGTTTCCTCCCACTGCTAAAGACCCCTACGCACAAGCGAATTATGTAAATAAAACTAAACCATATGTTAGTCCCGAAATGACCTAGTTTGTGTCGAGTGGACGTTAAACCCCATTTCTCTCTCTTTCTCTCTGAATTTGATAATTGAAGATGATTGTTTCAGAAAAAAAAGGGACAATCATCAATCTTTCTCTTGGATTGGTTTATAATAGCAAATTGTAATAGTTTTTTTAGGGCAACTTAATTTGACCTAACCCAGGAATCTACCTGTCAATAAATAAACCATGTGCAGAACTTACCAGTCAGCTAATTAGAATTTCAAAGAATTTAACCTTAAGACACAATAAATGTAGCTTAATTGTTTTTATGCATAAAAACATATGATGCTAATGATAATGTTAAGAATTGACCCCCACCCCCACCCCATAACAATACAACAGGGCCAACTGACGCATTTTTAATTTCATCTCCTTTGTCTTTGCACCATTTTACCAGAGTGAGAATCATTTGTGGTATATCCAGTCATTAAGAATTTAAGTTCTCCTATTCGTTCAGAAATGGTAATGTGGTCCGTTTTTGCATCGAAGACTCCGTGTCCAGTAACTTTTGTGGTATAGTCTAGATGTTGTATCCACAGGTCATTTTCGTCAGTGACGTATTTCACAACAAGTTCTACATGTAAGAACAACACATAAGAAAAGAGGAAATCGTGGGGGATGACTTTTGGGATACCTAGTCGTAAATGCATTTCCAATTATTTTCGTGATGATTATTTTTAAACTTAGAACTTGGTGTGCATTACATTACAGACGAAAATGATCTGTGGATACCATATTTAGACTATACCACACAAGTTGCCGGACACAGAGACTTCGATGATTCATTTTACACTTTTCACTTTATGAAATACATGACTGACAAATATGAATTCATCTGTCTAGATGATACCACAAACGGTTTCCGGACATAAGTCTTCTGAACAAAAGTTAATAAATATTGATATTCGTCAAGCAGTGTGCTATGAGGAAAATTGGCTCAGACAGTGGTACTATGGTGTACTCTTATTTCGAATTCCAACTGTCTAGGGTTCTTGTATGCGCACGTCAACGTGTACATATAAACCTGGTTTCTCGAGAAGCCCCCGGTGCTGCATCCTGACAAGGAGAAACCACACTGGAAAATCCTAAGGTACTTTTTCAGCAAACATAGGGATCGAACCCCAGATCTCGTTCTTAGCGAGTCTTACTCACTGAACCACTGTTTCGAACCATTTCTGAATAAACAATAGATAAATTCTTAACAACTGGATATATATACCTCACTGTTTTGCTGGAATAATATTAAATCTTGTTTATGTGAGATCCAGTATAACAGTTCCAGTTACCATCAAAATAACTACTACTCTTTGCTATTACAAGCCAATCCAAGAGGAAAATTCACGATTTTCCTGTTGTATTTTTAAGCAATCATCTACCATCTTCAAAATTCATTTTTGATGTAATATTCATTTTTAAAATTCATTTTTGAGGTAATATTTATTTTCAAAATTCATTTTTGAGGTTATTTTCAAGTTCGTGGACTTTGAAAACCTAATAAAGGACATTATTACAAGCCATACAAAACCGAAAAAATGACGATTATCTGAAAAATCGTTCATTTTAGGGAAATTCTGGTCGCCATTTTGGATTTTCAACCATCTTGGATTTTGGAAACTCTTCTTTTGAGGTTGTATTTAAGTTCAGTGACACAGAAAACCCTTTAAATCGCATATTACTCGCCATATCAAACTTAAAAATGACGATTATCCGAAAAATCGACCATTTTAGGGAAATTCTGGCCGCCATTTTGAATTTCCGCCATCTTGGATTTTGGAACCCCGTTATATTTAGATTAATTTTAAGTTTAGTGACACTGAAAATCCTTTAAATTACATATTATAAATCATATCAAAGAGTGAAATGACTTTTATCTGACAAATCAGCCATTTTAGGTAAATTTTGGCCGCCATTTTGAATTTCCGCCATCTTGGATTTGGGGAAACTAGTTTTAGAGATTATTTTTTCAGTTCAATTACTAACATACCTTATATATGATATATTACAAGCCATACCTTGCGTGATAATCACCCATACTATCTGGAAATTAATTTTTCGTCAAATTCTGGCGGCCATTTTGGAAATCAGACAAACCCCAACCGAAAATGACGTCACAGAAGTGAAATAATCTCATAATCGTCTTCAGTGACAAATTTTGCCTCAGAAACAACCCGACCCCAAATTTTGTTCCGATTGTGACACCCCTACTTAAAGACAGAATCTTGATAGATTTTATAATGGAGAAGAGATTAGCCAATACAATGGCTAGTCTATTCGAGCTTTTGGTGATGTGCGCACTGAATTATGGGAGACACCTGTAGAGAACTTAAAACAAACAAAAGTTAAAGTTCATCAGTGTCAAGTGGAGTCATCAAAACTATTAAGAAATTAAAAGAAATTAAAATCTGTATTTTAATCAGATTGTCTTTGATTCCACTCATTTCAGGATGTTCACGGGCCATGAGAATTCACCGTTTGGACTTCACAACAGTATGTTTACTGATGTTCTCACACAGCAAGGTACTGAGGAACAAAAAGCTAAATGGTTACCACTGGCTAAAAACTACCAGATACTTGGTACATATGCTCAAACAGAGATGGGTCATGGTAGGTGCTACAAGTAGTGTCATTCATCAAGCATTCAATTTCTTGTGGAAGTATTGTAACCAGGACAACACTATTCAAAAACAAAAGTGTGCATTTCAAACTTTACTTTCCTTGGCAGAAGTCTTTTAAATTTAAAGAGCCTGAAATTACTTCATAGTTATTTAGCCAATCAAAACGATCATGGTGGAATTGCTAATGTTAGTATTTGTTTTATATGGCATTAATTGGGAAGATGGAATTGGTATTTTTTTGCGATCTTGTGATAGCTTATGGTGCAATTGTTAATGTTAGTGGTTGTCTTATATGTTATTACCGCACTTGTCAACTTATTGATAATGTTGGATACACTGTTAACTCCTAGTAGAATAATATAGTGTAAAGTAGATAAAGAACAAGTATTATATATTTATATATTTTTTGATATGTCCAGGTACCTTTGTGAGAGGTTTAGAAACTACAGCCACTTATGATCCTAAAACTCAAGAATTTGTGTTGAACTCTCCGACCTTGACATCTATTAAGTATTGGCCTGGAGCTTGTAAGTATGCTTATAATCAGAATCTTTACAAGAAATTACTGTGTTGTGAAGTTAATTATCCACATATCTAAAAAAATGTTCCTGCATGTGTTCATGGTCTTTATCTCAAAGTTCAGTAAAGGCCATTAATTCACAATTATCACACTGGGTCGTTTTAAGTCTTGGGGTGAGTAACGAAGTGTTGCACGAACATACTAAAATTATACTTGAAATTGTGAATGAGTTCAGTTGGGGCTGGGTTGATTTTGAATTACTGATGGATATAACTTAAACCTGGTCACATGATATAATGCAACCGATGTCACCCATACATATACAAGACATATTGTCATTGCCTCAGTCTGTCCATCAGCGTTAATCGCTTGTGGATGATCTAAATCATGAAGTTATCTTCCGATTGACTTGAAATATACACAGTGTTTATGTCATGAGACAATTTCCCACAACTCCAAGAGTCATGGGTACTCAAATTGTAAGATTTCTGTTGTCTTTTGTTGTCATTCATCATTTTTTATATGCCCACATTTTCATGTGGACGTATATTGTCATCGCCCCTGTCCGTCCATCCATCCGTCCTTACAGGTCTCAATTTTTATCCGATTTCAATGAAACTTGAAATATAGGTTTATCACCCTAAGATCTCGGTTCATTTCGATATTGGCATGTATCGGACTGTAACTTCATGGATTATGTAACTTCATGGATTATGGCTCCTGATTGTACAAAAAATCACGTTTTTAGCATGTGAACACTATAGAGATCACAATTTTTATTCGATTTGGTTTAAACTTGAAATGTATGTTAATAACCCACAGATCTCGATTCCTTTTGATATTCGCGCATATCGGACCATAACTTCCTGAATTATGGCCCCTGATTGTACGGAAAATCGCATTTTTAGCTTGTGGACCCTATAGAGGTCACAATTTTTATCCGATTTAAAAAAAAACATTTGAATATGTCACCGTTACATCCTCAGGATGGTTGAGTTCGAATTTCGTGAAAATCGGACCGAAACTGCTGGACTAAATGGCAGCCCCTTCTGGGTATGTGTTTTGTTGCCTGGCAACCCATATTTCTATTTCCAGTGGGCAAGACCAGTAATCATTGTATTGTCATAGCGCAGCTATACACTCAAGGTCATTGTCATGGGTTACAACCATTCATAGTTCCACTACGTAACCTTGACAACTATCAACCATTACCAGGTATTTATATTTCTACCACTTTTAAAGACTCCTGCAAACTATTGAAATAAAGATGCATCATATGTTAGTCCCAGGATAGTCTTGTTTGTGTGTACTGGACTTTAAACCCTAATTATGTGCGTCTTCACTGAATAATTCCTATGATGTCACCCAAATCTGTAATTGAGAGAGGCATACACATTTATTATACTCTTTGGCTGCTCAGGACACCATAAATACAGTGTAATCTTGATGTTAATAAACCTTTCCACATTAAGGGCAGTAGATTACCAGTCCAGAACATTTTGAATTAACAAATTTGTAATCAAAGTGACACAGAATTGAGTTCTGTGAGTCTGGTAAACAGATGTGGTGTGAGCAGAATTCTGCCATAATCAAATGTGTCATCTATGATGATTGGTTGAGATAGCAGTTGCGTGCAAGTCTACTTATGTTTATTGGATGCACACCTTTTTTATGAAGGATTGAGAGAATTCAATACCAGAGTTTACCCAATTTTTGCAATCAAAGGGGAGCAGCGTATATGTATGCCCATCTTCTTTAGCCCAGTCATAGCAGAACAATAGAATGTTAAACCCCATTTCATTTCCTATGTTTAAGGGAGGTAACCATGTTATTTTACAGGAGTTGAAGTTGGAGATATAGGTTTAAAGTTTGGATATGATGCAGTGGATAATGGCTACCTGAGACTAAGTAATATCAGAATACCAAGAGAAAACATGCTGATGAGATATTCTAAGGTAAATAATTTGCCATAATAATTCAAAATTTGGGCTGTTGAGTCATGTGACCCTCTGACACAAGCAGTGTCGGCACCAGCCGTCGGTGATTGGGGGGGCAGAGCTGGGGCAAAGTCCATGGTTGAGGGGGCAAAGGCACGAGCTTCAACTAGGGGTAGGGGGCCTCCCCCAGAAAATTTTGAAAAACAGGTTGCCGGAAATGCAGCCTGGCAGTATTTCAGATCGATGAAGTAAAGTGTCAAACGAACGGACTTGAGAATCACAACGAAGCCCACTCAAGAGCATCAAAGTAGGAATTTCTGCCCCAGAAAATTTTGAAAAATAGACTGCCGGAAATGCTGTCTTACAGTATTCTGTCAGGCATCGATAGTCAAGATAAATAGATCTGACCAGATACCGTCCGTCGCCTGTTCACTAGTTTATCCGACTAGAGAACAAAATGTCAAACGAACAGACTTGCGAACCTCAACGAATTCCCCTTGTGAGCGCCAAAGTAGCGAGTCCATTGGGGACCTCGCCAAGAAAATTTTGAAAAATAGACTGTCAGAAATGCTCTACAACATGCAAGTTTATGACTGAGTGGGGATGTGGGATTTATTCACCGTAGAAGGTATTGATTACCGAAACGTATCACAATTCTTAAATTATTGGGGGGGCAAACAGAGGGCAGACCAGATTAATGGGGGGGGGGGGCAAATGCCCCCCTTGCCTCCCCGGCGCCGCCACTGGACACAAGGTTATCTTCTATACGTTAGCATGGGTATCTGAAAATCATGTGGAAGTCATTTCTTGAGTCGGCTATAATTGCATGAGGCAGTGTATGCTCACTGTCTCTAGAACACCTGATACCACTTCTCAATAGGTCTATTTTTGTATTTAAATGACTATGGGCATACAAGTGGTAAAAAGGCAGAAATAAAAACTAAATATTATCATATTTATCATAATCTTAACCAGTCTGATTAAAACACAGATCCTATTTCATTTCGTTTTTGATAGTTCAAAATTTTGTTTTACTTGTCTTTACTACACTTGGATCTGGAAGGGTTGTTATATTACCGGCGTTTTGGTTGAAGTGAGGGATAAGGCAATGAAACAGTCTGTTACGGCGACTTCTTGGTGTGCCATGCACGGAACTGTGGGTAAACCACTAGAAATGTCAAAGCTGATTGATTAATCAATGTCTGACGTCATAGGGTCAAAAGCTGCTTGTACGACCCATGACACGACCTTCGAGTAGTGTAGGCCATCAAATGTATAAAAATACGGAATGAAATATAGATCTATATTTTAATCAGATTGAATATATAATCCTTATTATTTACAATACATGTATTTAAAGATTTAACTACTTATTGACATTAAGTGCTACCTGTTAGATAAGTCTATTTATTGTCATAATGTTGTTAATCAGGCTTGGGAAGGGTCAAGAGCTGCACATGAATCCTGCAGATGACATAGAATATATCAGTATTTTCTGTTATCTTTCCGTTCACATTTTTAATGCTTGTGACAGTTCATAGTTTATTTTTGTTTGTTTTAAACTTGCCCTTTTGGATTTGTTGACAATGTTTTTAGAGCTACTACAGAAGGCTTTTCTGCTGGTGGATGTGTTAGAGAGCCTAAAAATCCACCATTTCATGTTTTACTTTGGTCATTGGGTCATGTTGTTGGTTGATACTTTCTATTAGTATGTGCAGGGGTATAACACATATAGAGTCAAATCCCACATACTAATGAAAGTACATGTAAAATGACATGTTTATATATAAAAAACCCCAGTGAAATTGTTGTAAAATTGTTGTAAAACCATTGTCAAAATATCCATCAAATTCTATCTGTTTATGACATGTCTGTTAGACCAAATAAGGTAATGTTCTCTCCCCTGGTCTTGGGAGAATGGGGTGTTTATTCCATATTTGGGAATGAAATTAACGCCAAGGAACGTCTATGACGCACAGAAATAAGGGCGTTATAAAAGAAGGGTGTTGAGCGAAATTGATCAGAGCTCACCCAGATATTCCGAGCAGCTATCATCTATGCTTTATTGAGAACGAGGGACCGTCGAAGCCAACTAGTTTAACAATAAAGTTGTAGAAACCATCTAACCTGTAGTTTTATTACGATCACAAGGAACACGACAAGGAAGTCCGATAATACTACATATGTTATAGGTAACAGAAGATGGTGTTTTTATTAAACCAAAGAATGATAAATTACTATATGGTGGTATGGTTATGATACGATCATTTATAACTGGTGATTGTGGACGTGGATTAAGTCAGGCCTGCACAATAGCTATCAGATACAGTTCAGTCAGACATCAAACGGAGGTTACTCCAGGGTAAGATATTACTCGTCCATTTTTTTTCTTTATTGTCCCCCGCCTTTCGAAGAAAGCAGGGGACTATTAAAATGGGTTCGTCCGTCTGTCTGTCCGTCTGTCTGTCCGTCTGTCCGTCCGTCCGTCTGTCTGTCCGTCACACTTTTTGGGACACAATAACTCTCTTCCTAATTGAGCTAGAATGTTCAAACTTGGTGTATGTGTTTATTAGGTCAATGCCTTGATGGAGTTCGAAGATGAGCATTTTCCGCTTAGGGTAAGCAGAGATAAGCAATTTGATTGGTTGATGCTTTGGGACACGATAACTCTCTTCCTAATTGGGCTAGAATGTTCAAACTTGCTGTATGTGTTGATTAGGTCAATGCCTTGATGGAGTTCGAAGATGAGCATTTTCCGCTTAGGGTAAGCAGAGATAAGCAATTTGATTGGTTGATGCTTTGGGACACGATAACTTTTAATTGAGCTAGAATGTTCAAACTTGGTGTATGTGTTTATTAGGTCAATGCCTTGATGGAGTTCGAAGATGAGCATTTTCCGCTTAGGGTAAGCAGAGATAAGCAATTTGATTGGTTGATAATTTGGGGCACGATAACTCTCTTCCTAATTGAGCTAGAATGTTCAAACTTGGTGTATGTGTTGATTAGGTCAATGCCTTGTTTCATACCCTGTTAGGGTAAGCAAAGATAAACAATTTGATTGGTTGATGCTTTGGGACACGATAACTTTAGTTCCAATTAAGTGAGAGTGATGAAACTTGGTGTATAGTTTCATTACATCAATACCTTGACTAAGTTCGATGATGAGCATTTTCTGCTCAGGGTAAGCAGAGCGATAAGCAATTTGATTGGCCGAGACTTTGGAACACAATAACCCTCCTTCTAATTGAGCTAGAATGTTCAAACTTGGTGTAGGGGTTTATGAGGTCAATGCCTTGATGGAGTGCGAAGATCAGCATTTTCTGCTTAGGGTAAGCAGAGATAAGCAATTTGATTTGTTGATGCTTTGGAACACGAAAACTTTAGTTCTAATTAAGTGAGAGTGATGAAACTTGGTGTATAGTTTCATTACATCAATACCTTGACTAAGTTCGATGATGAGAATTTTCTGCTTAGGCTAACGAGCAATAAGCATTTTGATTGGTCAAACTCTTCTTCTAATTGAGGTAGAATGTTTAAACTTGATGTAGATGTTCGTCTTGACTGAGTTCAACAACTCTTCTTCTAATTGAGGTAGGATGTTTAAACTTGATGTAGATGTTCGTCTTGACTGAGTTCAATGATTAACATATCGAGCTAAAGCTAAGCAGAGATAAGCAATTTCCTGCTTTGGGACAAGATAACTTTGATTCTATCTAATAGAGAGTGATGAAACTTAGTGTATAGTTCTTAATCAGTTTGATTGCTTGATACTTTGGAAAAAAATAGATGTGCGATTAATTAATATGTGTCATCTATTTATTTGGGGATTTCGGCGGGGGACATCAGCCTCACTGTTGGCTTGTTTTAACAAAGATAGATAATGTTGACAGATAGGTATATACTTGGATTAACTTAAAGGAAAATTCTGATTACCTCAGTTGAAACACAACTGGTATGTAAAAGAAATGTCAGTGATGTCATCAGAACTACCAGATCTTTTAATATGGAATCTTGAAAATGGCCGTTTTTAGTCATAATTCTGCCCTTTCTGAAGAAAGATATTGCTAGTTCTGGTTCTGCCAGTTAGTGTTATAAACACAGTCCTTGATTTAGTGCGGTGTTTAAACAGAAGCTCGGTGGAAGTGGACGTAAAATGCAACTAACACACACAGATATACGTGAAAATTTGTTTGTGAGATTACCTCGATATCCAGACACTAGATCATACTAATATTAACATCTGTAATATATGACATTATCCCTTTAAAAGATTATAGTTTTCAAGAATAACACATCTAAAAGTCTATGTGCTGAAAACAACAAAGGGTTGGATTGTTTAGACCACAAAGAACACACTATGTTTTGGTTTTATTTTGCAATTGAAATTTTTTCCACTATTGTAGAAAAGGTGAAGAGAAGATATTAGATTATCAGACACAACAGTATAAATTATTCCCTGCGTTATCTACAGCTTTAGCATATCTATTTGCTGGTAATGCTATCAGAGAAATGTATTTACGTGTCATGGCGGATATTAATAAAGGCGCCCTGGGTGAACTACCACAGGTAAATAAAGGGGAATATCAGCAACCGAGTGGAGATTTTGTGAGACACAGTTTTTATATAGTAGATTTTGGTGGAGATTTTGACCTTGGTTAAGTTGATCAGGTGTCCTGTGCCTAAAATTGCAGGGAAAATTAAATTTTCTAGCTCTGTACAGCTCTAAAAAAGTGTTTAGGATGACTTTGTAGAGCTGTTTTGGTTTGGGGTTCCAAAATGTTTACTTCCCCTTTTTGAGTCTCGTTGCCTGGATATGGGAGGACTACAATAATACTAAATTGTACATGTTTATATAGAGAATCTCCTACCAGTCTTTTTTGATATCAAAAAAGATGAGTAGGAGATTTTATTTATCACCCAATCCCTTCTTACATGCACAAATAGATAAATATAATTCTTTGCTGTAGATTTCACTTTTACTGAACATTACGGCGTAGTGATACATCATTTTTTGACAGCAATTCAACCATTGCAAAGTCCTTTATATTGACCCAGTGTTTCCATCTAGGTCAATTGAATAACAATAGTTCATTTTTAATTTAAAAAAAGTTAATTTAATAAGAAATGAACTGTTCTTTGAAAATAAAAAAAAGTAGTTCCGTTTCAACTGACCAATCAAATTCATGTAAAGCGATATCTCCTAAGGAGATATCGCAGTAGATTATGAAATTTATCACACAAGCGATATCTACTGTAGAATGTATTATTGGGTGATAAATATCGATATCACAATAATGATAATTTTAAATATCATCCAGCCCTTTCATATGTAATATAATTATAATTCAAGCCTTAGCTCCTCATACATATCTTGGTATTTCTAAACGTAACAAAAATGACATGAGGCAGTATACAGAGGAAACTAGAGTGTAAAATCATTTATATGTAAATGTCTTTTTAGTTTAGGGTCACAAAACAAATCTCTGAAATCAGACAGAACACTTTAGAAATACTCTTTTTTGTTGATTTTAGCTTCATGCATTATCATCTGGGTTAAAAGCATGCAGTTCGTATGCAGCCAGTGAAATGATTGAAACATGTCGTATGGCTTGTGGTGGTCATGGTTACAGTCAAGCTAGTGGATTCCCTAAAATCTATGTCAATGTAACCCCAGCGTGTACTTACGAAGGAGAGAATACTGTCTTACTATTGCAGACAGCCAGGTAATTTGCGGCAATACTATATACCGGAAAGCACCGAAAAACACTGGAAAACTACCGGAAAACACCATGTTATACTGAATACCGGAAAACACCAGAAAAACACTAAATACCGGAAAACACACTAAATACCGGAAAACACCCTAAATAGGTAACCCAGAGCCTGGTCCTCTGTTTGCGGGGAGTTGGGGTTAGTGTTAGGGTTAGGTTTTTCCGGTGTTTTCCAGAGGACCAGGCTCCGAGTTATCTATTTAGGGTGTTTTCCGGTATTCAGTATAACATGGTGTTTTCCGGTAGTTTTCCGTTGTTTTCCGGTATAGTATAGCCCGGTAATTTGTTGAACTGTCAGACACCATTTCATTTATTCCATTGATATATCAATCATTCTTTCTTTGAAGTAGAAGTTCTGTTCATGGTAATAGAATAATTGTCTCTATTTCTCTACAGACTTTTGAACGTTTCTCGGGAGAATCTGACCAAAAGCTTCATTTAGATAACTCACCAAATTCACTGAGTAATAGGTTAAACCCTATTTTATTTGCAATACTATAAAACAATAGATTATGCTAGTAGTTATGAAATGCTATATCAGAAAGATGGAATATCTGTGGTAAACAACCACCTTGATCAAATAGTGTGAAAAAATAAGCTTATTTTTAGCATAATCAGTTTTTATATCAATTTCACTGCCAGTCAGTCAAGATTGATATTTTGTGTTTATATTTAGATTGGGTTTTCTGTAAATTGCCAGACAGTCAAAACTGATAAATATGAAGTAAAGAGAGCCTTGACACAAAGCCAGTTATCTGCCATAATCATAATAAAATGACCATGTATTTGTTTGTTAATTATATTATTGTTAATTATATGTTAAACTAGCTAATATTTAATTTCAGATACTTGATGAAGTGTTTGAATTCTTCTGCACAAGGTGAAGAGTTACCTACCCTGATGTCATACTTGAACAAATCAACAGGTGGCAAGACCAGTACTATTACAGATCGTCTTAGCTTACGGTCATTGGTTGAAGCTTTCGAACATCGAGCTGCCAGGTAGTAATAAGAACCATACACAAGCCCCTGGGTTGTTTCGTCTGTAGGGGGGGGGGTTGCCGTATGGTTAACACGTGCGCGCTGTATCATAAGGTCTGTCATTGAGTCAACTGGCCTGGTTTTGATTTCCCAGTTGTACGTGACAAGGAGTAGAGTCGCCTGTCCAACCTCGTGGGTTTTCTCCAGGTTCTCTGGTTTCCTCCCACTGCTAAAGACCCCTACGCGCAAGCAAATTATTGATATAAAATTGAACTATATGTTAGTCCCGAAATGACCTAGTTTGTGTCGAGTGGACGTTAAACCCCATTTCTCTCTCTCTCCCCTGTTTCGTCTGTGATGTAACTTAGAGTGGAAGCAGACATTAAATCCCCAATTGACAACAACTGCCCTGTCTGCAAACATGTTAGATATCAGTTAACAATTGTAGTGATAATGGTTTAGCCTGGTCTGACATACTCTTGTATATAATTGTTGGTTGTGTATAATTCTCAGTTGCTACTCTTCTAATTATCTTCTGTCTTTTGTTTTCAAACTTTATCATCCATCTTCAATTCTGCATTCATAGCATTTTTAAGCAACATTATTTAGGATTCAACTAAGCACAACTGTAAAGGTGACAGGTACAGACATTTATCGACAACAGAAATCAGGGCCCTGTTTTACGAAATTTTAACTAAGATAAAATCCAAATTTTAGTAATTTGATTGGATAATATTAAATTGATTTTAGTCTTTAGCCAATCAAAATTGAAGTATCTACTAAAATTTGGATTTTATCTTTAGTTAAAATTTCATGAAACAGGCCCCAGGCTTGTATTAATATGTCCCTATCTAGATTTAGATTTTAAAAGATTGTTCCTCACTGGAGTTACTTGATGCTGTTTGTTTTTAAAAGACTTACTTGTAAATTTTAACAGATTAATCAGAGAATGTGGATCAAGAATACAGACGTTAACATCACGTGGTATGAAACCTGATGTTGCTTTAAATTCTACATCTGTGCAACTAGTTAAAGCTGCTACAGTGAGTTATCTTCTCTTTATAATTGCTAGATCAGCTAATATCAATTAACCATTGCTAGATAGACTTTCTCTATGAGTCCGGTCCATGCCCCCCTAGAAAGATTATTACCACTTGAAACAGCCGACTTAAGTTTGGTCCCAACATAGGAACCATATCCCGGAATATGTTGTTACCACTTAATATACAGTGGACTCTGTTAATTCTGACATCATACGGGATCGATACAATATGCCAGATTACATTGCATGTCGGAATACTCAATACTAGAAGTATTATACCACAAGTTTTATTGTACCTTTGAATACCGGAAGTATTATTATACACCCTCAAATACCCAGAACTTAAAATATGGTAACCTTTCTGTACATTCAAAAGGTACCAAGGATTCAATTAGTTTTGTAAGCGGTATATCGTCATCGTTGTCGTCAGAAGATACACTAACCCGAGTAAAAAGCACTTGTCATTCAGGCCTTACGATTGACCGACCAATTGATGTCTTCAAACTTAGCGTTCAAGTAAAATTGTTTCTTACAGCTGTTAAAGTTATCAGCAAACTTCTGTTTCAATTTATCTTTTCGCTTTAAAATGTTGGATACTGCAGTACGGCTAATTGAATACTTAACGGCTAATTATTTCCGTGTCGCTCGTGGATCTTTCTCAAAATCTGCTATAATTTGCTGCTTGACATCCAATGTCAAATCCATATGGGCACGCTTTGCAGGACGATCACACATTATGAACACAATATTATAATGATTAATCATCTCGGCAATTTATATATATTGTCGCTGTATTTGGCGTGAGAAACTCAAATCAAATACCAAGCGCTCTCTTACAAGAGATTATAAAATTATCAAGGTAGTCAACAAAGACAGACACATGTTTTATGCTCACAAATAATTGATTGGTGATTACTTGTCAGTTAACACCCACTGATTGAAGGCCGGATTATCCAATGTTAATTGAACACAAATTGTGTGACAGGACCTCTCATTGTTGTCGTAATTCGGAATATTCAAAATACGGATTACTCAAAACATTTTTGGTTGAAGTAATAAGGAAATAAATTGGGACACGAAAATGATGTCAGATTTCAAGGAATGCTGTAGTTGTTTTAAAATTGTCTGCTTCTGCTGCTTGGATTGAAATGTTTTGGGGGTTTTTTCAGGCTCATGTAGAATGTTGTGTTGTGAAGATTTTTGTAAATGAAGTAGAACGGAAAGATGTCAACCCACAACTTAAACCTGTTTTACAGGCTATGTGTCAACTTTATACAGTATATCTTCTATTACAGAATAGTGGGGAATTCATGCAGGTAGGTAGGGAGATACAGGTGGTTTAGGGAGGGAAGAGTGTGACGATTTTAGTATATGGATAAGTGGAGTGAGACAGGAAGAGGATATAGAGGGAAGGAATATGTAGGAGAAATGTAGAGAGAAATTTCACAAATAGTAGTGTGGTAGGAGGCATGAAATGAATTGAAACTCAGGTTTAACGTCCTACTGTTCTGCACTGACTGGGCTAATGAAGACAGTGTGCTATGAGAGAAATTTTGCCTGGACAGCGGCACTATGGACTATTCTTACTTTGAATTCCAACTGCCAAGGTTTCTTCACATGCACTCCAATGTTTTTCATTCCATCCGAACAGCTGTACATTGCCACTTGCCAGGCCCTCTGTCCTGCACAACTGACAAGGGAGAACTACCCCTGAAAAACCTGATGAACTTTCTCAGTCAGCACCGGGATCGAACAACGTCTTACTCCCTCGATAGCACTCGGAGATATCGAGATATGGAATTTTGTAAAACTTTATTAAAATAAGGAACACATCAATTATAAATCGGAATGGTATCTCCCACTCAGTTTTGAAATTGTTTTGTGGGGTCAATCTTCTGTTTATATTATTATCTTTAAAGCTTGAGACAGAGTTCTATGTAATGTGTAAATCTTTCTAAAACTCGTTCAGAACAATTTGTTGACATTGATTTTTGAACTAGTTTGGTCAGATTTGCTGCTGCGTATTCAGGGGCTTGTGACTTGTCAGACTTATGTCTATGTTTTCTTAGGATGGTTTTGTGACTGGACAACAAGTTGAAGTCCTGAATAGCAAGTTGTTAGATTTACTGAGTGAAATAAGACCGAATGCTGTAGCCATTGTAGATGGGTTCGATATACCAGATGCAATGCTGGCAAGTGCTCTTGGTCGTTTTGATGGACAAGTTTACGAGGCTTTGTACCAATACGCCAGAAACTCTAAACTTAACAAAACTGAGGTAAGTCTTTGTCTTTTATATTTTACATCTTGATTGTATTGTTTATTAGATAAATCACACACAGCTACATTCTGTTTAAAAACTACATATTAATAAGTTTTCTGTTTCAAATTCCTAGAAAATGGAAAATTTAACATTAAATTTTTGGGTATCAAATTGATATCATCGAAATTGTAAGTGAGAGATACTCCATTTATCAAGAAATAGTGACTGTTGTAGTTTATGAGGCAGTGTGTATGTACTGTTGTATTCAGCAGTAACAAATGACCTAATGTATCCCTGTTCACTAGGTATATTCCCTGGCTCTCTTTGTACTAGTATATCAATTTAGTAATCATTTAATGATTCTTGGGGGTTGGATGGCAGAATGGTTAGTGCGTGCACGCTGTCTCATAAGGTCTGTCATTGAGTCAACTGGCGTGGTTTCAATTCCTCAGTTGTACGTGACAAGGAATAGGGCTGCCTGTCCAACCTTGTGGATTTTCTCCAGGTCCTCCAGTTTCCTCCCACTGCTAAAGACCCGTAACCACAAGCGAATTGTTGAAATAAAATGGAACCATATTTTAGTCTCTAATTCTCTTTAATGATTCTCTCTGATTTGCAGATCACCATATTTGGCAATATAAAGCCATTATACTTTTTTCATAAGTTTATTTACTGAGTGGGGTATTTGTTGTAGGTCATCTGTTAAATGGGCTGGAAAAAAACCTTTTAGTCTCAAAGCCCAGGTGTTCTCAAAATGATGCTGAAATTCATGTCATTTATTTCATCTTATCTGTCTTTCAGGTATCGGATGCTTATTATAAACATTTGAAACCATTTCTGGATCGTCAACGTCAGATCTCAACACCATCGGTTGTAACTTCCCGATTGTAAAAATTAGCTATGTACAGATAATAAATATTAGACTATTAATTTATAACAAAAACTATTAATTGATTTACTTGATTAGCTGCACCAAACTATACAGACTTGCTTATCCTTGTTTTTCAAAATTAAGTTCTACTTGCTTTATGCATTCAGTAGAATCTATTTAAAAATGGAAATGTTGTATTTAGAAACTATGTATCCATCAAAAACATGTCAATAGAGAAGTGATGAACAGATAGAGGAAACAGGCAAAGAGGGTGACTTGGCCGTCATGAACAGATTGAACAATTGACAAACAATGTTATAGTTAGTTTCAACATCACCAGAATGAAGAACTTTCCAGAAATATCCTTAGAAATATTTGTACATTATTTTATTCAATTTTAGGTATCTCATTTGTTGTTAGCGTTATTTGTACAATTTATTATCCTGTGTCTCATTGAGTCTTTTTGTTATTAGTGTCACTGTTACAAGTCATCAGAATTATTTGTGCTATTTTTTATTCAATTTAACATCGTTTTCTTTGTTATTGTTAAGAAAAATAATTAAATGATGAATTTGGGATAAAAATCTTATTGTAAGTACTATCATTATTTGAATGTATGTGGAGATCATCATTTTAGGATTTTCCCTTCCCTGTTAGCAACATCTGCCATCAAGAATTAGATGGAGACAAATCTGCCAATAGTTTGTTGATAATGTACATTATAAACCATTTGAGATGAAAAGTACACATTTTGTTTTTAATTAGTTTTCAAGGAGTTGGATAAACACTGGTGGTAAATTAGTCATACTCCTCACAGTGTTTCGTTTGATTAGAGTTAATCCCACTAAACACTACTTTAATCGAAGCAAATTTCTGTTCCAAATTATGACTGGTCAATAGTCCGATTAACAACACATAACTAACTGCGTAACAATATCGTTACATTTTAAACAAAGCTCCAAATTGGACCAAATATGTTTACATAATGTTACGTCATGACTCACGATTTCATTATGCCCAATTAACCAGTGCATAGCAGAATATTGCAGAAAAACTAATTGTGTGACAAACAAGGCTATCAACACGAATACAATGTAAACAATACTGTATGGAGACGAAGAATACTTTCACCGTTTTTAATACCATAAATCACTGTCCAAAGTTTTAGGGAAGACCCCAGATTAAACGAAGGGCTGTCATGTTGCTGTACTTCAGATAGATTTGATTGCACGGGAAGAATACACACGCTCCCTCAAAAGCTCAAGTATCAGAAGCCAATCCAGCAATGGGCAGAGCGGGATTTCTCGGACCATTGATTCAGGAATATGTGCCTTAGTATAGTTCATGTGAACATTATGGTATTTGGAGTATGGGAAATTATGTACATTTACTGTGGTAAATATGTTTCTGGTAAAATTTGAAATCCATTCCTTGATTCTTCACTATATCTAAATTTAACCCATAGTGGTCTTAATTTGTATAAACTACAGATAAGTTTATAATGCGTACATTTATGTGTCAAAGTACAAGGAAAAACTTACCAATGAAATGGAAGGCATTTATAGTTTGAATTAATCATAAAAATATTAATCAAAGGTTAAGTCTGAAATGAATTCTACATAATTAGTCTTCCCCTTTAAATGAGAAGGTCAGGTGTTACAGAGTCTTTATATTTTAATTAATTATCTAGTATTAAAATAGTTTCAAGACTAGGTTGACGACATGTGTCAAAAGGGAAATATTGATACTATCATAGATAGCAGAAGCATATGATTTTGTTCATAAATGGCTACTGACAGTTACCCAGATGTCACAGTCAGGTGTCTTAATTTGATAAATAGTTGAGGCTAAATGAGTTATACTTCATGATTTACGTTGGGGAAACCTTTTTTTTTTAATACTAGATAATGAATAAAATAAAAATAATCCAACAACTGAAATTTACCTGTAAGTGTAAATATTGATACTCTTTAGCATGTTTTACTTACTTTGATACCAGCAACAGACTTGAAATTTGTATTAAATTAATCAAAAATTGTTATGGCTCTTGGTGCTCTATTTAATGTATATCATGTGATTAAGAAAGATGTAAATAATAACAATGTTTTTAAATACAAGTATAAATTTATAAAGTTAATTTTTTTCAAGAAAATGTCTAAAAACTGTCCTCTTGTCTTGTTTGTCTTTTTTTATTACTTTTTGTGGGAATGGTGTTAAGATGTTTTTCAGGAACGATTCCAGCAGAAATGACCAGAATATTGTCAAAAGTTGTTCATCTAAAATTCGGAATTCACATTAGTTAATGCAATATCAGTTGTATTTATGTTATTATCAAATCAGTACCAGGACTGCTGAAGAATAGGATGACTTGTTCGAGATAGCACAATTATTGTTACCTGATCTGTCAACACGAATTAAGTTGGCAGTATGAAAGAAACTTGGTTACATGCAGATTGATAGATTCCCTAATGGAAAATCCCAATAAAAATCCGATGGGTTTTTGTTGGATTCCAGAATATATCATAGAAATGGCCCATAAAGTATTCCAGGAGGAATCCATGATAACAATATTATACAAAAACAATGCATACAAACCTAAATAGAATAGAATAGATAAATGCCTTAGTAGACCTGAAACATTTAATCAGAAGTAAAGCAGCAGACAGGGAAATAAAAATTGTTACCTTTAGATGATTTTTTTCGTGGCCCCTGTTCGTCCACAATTGTTTGTGGACACTCTACAGGTCACAATTCTTATCCAATTTTGACAAAACTTGAAATATAGGTTTTTATTTTATGATCAGTAGTGGAATACCGCGTTTTATCAGTGAAATAAAAGTGTTATTCCACTGGCTAGAAGCGGACAAAGTAGTCCATGTTGTTTTTACCTAAAATGATTGTAAAATCATAAAATAAATAGAACATTTGTCGTTTTGTCGTGAATAACATATTTTATTTCATCTCTAAGCAAGAAAACGTTTATATTTTCACTCATGCTACGCCTTCGTGAAAATATAAGTTTTCTTGCTTCTCGATGAAATAAAATATGTTATTCACTCTAAAACGATAAATATCCTCTATATCTCCAAAAGATCTCGTTTGCTTTCGATATTGGCATATATCGGATCGAAACTTCATGGTATGATTGTACGAAAAATCACGTATTTAGCTTGTGGGCCCTATAGAGGTCACAATTTTAGACCGATTTTGATGAAACTTGAAATGCATGTTTATAACCCAAAGTTCTTGGTTCCTTTCGATATTTGCGCATATCGGATCGTAACTTCCTGAATTATGGCCCTTGATTGTACGAAAAATCGCTTTTTTTCAGCTTGTTCTCTATCCATCTCTTGCAAAATGTGGGCGTATCCTGCCCGGCAGCAGCTGGTTGTACAATCAGGGGCAATAATCCAAGAAGTTACAGTCCAATACGTGCCATCCGAGATGTTTAAACATAATCTTTATCTAATTTTGATGAAATCTAATATAGGAAAATGTGAGCATATAAAAATCGGAACAAAAATAAAACATGAATGTATTCAGTTGTACATTTTGGAACTTCGCTGGATGGGGAATTTAGAGGTGTACATGTATGATGAAATAGTCAAAGTTGGTTATGATGCCAATACTGTATTTGAGCTCTAATTAAAAGTAGGGTTTTTCACCATTTAAAGCACAAGATACTACTAAAGGCCTATTCACACTACAGATAGTTTGTCGGCAATTTTCCATCTCCAAAGAATAATTGGTTTGCAGTGCATTTAGAAGACATGCTTGTCGTTGATAACATACATGTATGCGATATCAAATTGAATGGGGCCCACTATATTCAGTTTGTACATTATATCATTATATGCTTGAGCACTTTAATACATACATGTATCACAATGTAGGGGCTAGTGTTGGCACGATATATATATATATGGTTGAATCATTGTATCGTGATTCTGTTTTACGTTTTGTTTTTTTTTGTTGTTTTTAAGTACATGTAATCTGTCACTCTTAATTATCCACGTCACACATTATCCATAGGTACGCAAACACCCTTAAAAATATCAATTATCCATCTGGTTTTCTTGATATAATATATTGAAGTGGTTTTGAATCGTGATACGTATCGTATCGTAGCACCTGAAACGCAATATGTACCATATTGTGACTGCAGTGGCAATACCCAGCACTAGTAAGCACTGGGAAATTCTTGTGCACACGATAACCTTTGCTGGCAAATCAGTACAGTGTGTCAGGTGTTTTGGTCAATAGATTTTCACTGACCGGGTATGGTATGGGTGAAAAATTCAAAACATGTTGCCATGTAACAATGAAGTAGGTGGGGAATTATAGCCATAGAAACATGAATAATGGGAAATCAACACCAGCAATTGGTATAGTGTGCAAGTACACGTACATGTAAGAAGGTGGGGAATTCAAGTAAAAAAAAACCAAACAAACAGCACTCCTTGTAATTGTTTTTAACAACTATTGAACATATAAAATATTATGAAATCTGTTTACACTGTTAGAAAAAGAAAATATAAAACATATGGATATTTTGTCATTAGAAATCAGTTCCTAATTGAGCACTAGATTTCTGGTGGGAAATATATCCCTGATGCTATATTAAAGGGTAGACAATTGTCACAAATTTCTGCACAAAATAATACTTTTTATAACAAAATTAAACCTGTCAGGTATTAAAGGGATATAACAAAGTCTTTTAATTTAGACCATACTTTGGTTTCTGTTTTACGTCATTTATACTTAGACCATATTTACATTTGTGATTAATTCATTTATACTTAGACTAGAATTAAGGTTGGGCCACATGAAAAAGGTTTGTGTTTAACAGACCAGACTTGATTCCTCAGTTACATGTTACCATTATTGCCAAAGAAATAAATATCTAATTTTATTTAGATTGGGATATAAACCACCTCAAAAAATATCCCCCAACTAAGAAATGCGACCACATATCTACTGTTTTATATAATTTACACTGGTTACCTGTTAAATATCGAATTGATTTTAAGATTTTATTACTTACTTTTATTAAATAATTTAGCTCATGTTTACCTCTCAGATCTTTTAGAACTTTATACACCTGGCCGAACATTACTTACATCAGATAAACTACTTTTAAAGTCCAAAACTGTTAAACTAACGGTAGTCTCTTATGGTCAGCGCTCGTTTAGTTTTCAAGCACCTGTTTTATGGAATAATCTACCATTTAGTTTAAGATGTTGTACATCTCTATATTATTTTAAAAAGCAACTTAAAACACATTTATTTTATCAGGCTTTTAACTGACTCTGTATACAACATGTCCATAATTGTGTTGTTTATTTAGAAGTGCCCCTGAACATGTTAGACATTCCTTAATCCATATCTCACTGGATTTTGCATATGGAATTGCATGTCCATGATTATAACATTCATTAACAAGCTTCACAATAATACTGTCTAATGGTTCATTAAAGAGAGATAAACTTTACAATATGTCTTCTTTTATAACAAGCTTCATCAATGTCTGTAACAGTCATAAATAGTTCAGGAAGTAACAGTTTATTATCGGGAGATAATTATGCAATAATATCTTTTCACAATGTCTAATACATTCTTATTGGTTTAATAAGGGGATACTCAATTAGGGGATACTCAATTAAACGGAATATTGACAAATCGAGTGAAAAGGGGGATTTCAGGCTACAACCCAAGCGCCGACTGCATATGAAAATATCTCGGCCAACCATGACAGCTGAACCATATTGATTGTGTTTAATTACATCAATATTCTACTCGCACAACCTCCATTGTCGGGACGGGAATGAATTCCACTTCACTCGATTTAAATCCTGTCAATTCTGGACGATATGGACTGGCAATCAAACATCCCCATTGGTTTACTATTAGAGCTAACTATTCAAGGGAAATAATCATCACAATAAATGCCCATGTAACAAGTCAATGAAATCTATTGACAGTGTCCGTAATAATCGCACAGGTTCTACAATAATATCAGTTCGTCCTGACATTTCTAGCACTTTTAAAAGTTTCTGTTTCAGTTCTTGTTGATGGTCTAGGTTATCCAGTGGCGCTAAAGCTACATCCCACAAACCATTGGCACACGTCACAAGGATTTTTTGCATGGATTTTAACTTGGCACAAGTCTGGGTGATGGTGATAAGACTGTCCATATTTAGAATGTTGGCAGAAAGATCAAGCACTTTTAAATATTTCAAACATTCCTTGATAGTAACACAGAATTCGGGAATGATAGCGTCCGAGAGGTTGTTCTCAGCCAAATTAAGAACACAAACATTCGGGAAATGTCGCATAGTTTTTAAGAGGTAGGTCTGAGACACGCGACTGATATCGAACATAGAAAAATGTGTGAGTTTACTTGCATTTAGCTCTCGTAATGATTTTGCATGATGGGATTTGCTCAAACTATCCAAATCGTCCTCATCTATGTCACACCCGCTGATATTGAGATATTCAAGCGGAATAGAAAGGGCATCCAGTACTTCCCCTAAACATCCCAGCACATAATTAGAACTAATATCCAGTCTTTTTAAATTCACCATACTGGAAAACAGAGACACAAGCTTACTTCGTCCTTGAGTACGACTTCGTGTTTTGCCTTTCTGTAAGTAAATACTACACTCCTGGATGTCCAAGAATCGAATGTTTACAAATTTCTGTAAATCAGAAACAACGGTGAAAAATATATTTTCCTCTAGCTGTGATAAACAAATACCATCTAATGTCTGAAAAAGAAAAAAAAAAAAAAATTATGGAGAGTGTGATATTGAAATCTCTAGGTAGTAGTACTAGGCCACTGACACATGTAAAATAAACCATTTCAAAATACAGATGTGACGTCAACTTTTGATGCTGGGAGCCACAGTGGATAAGTGTGGAGGTCGCGGGTTCCATACCTAGTGTTGGCCGAGGAAGTTCACCGTGATCTCTCCTTGTCAGTGGTGCAGGACGGAGGGTCTGACATGGACAGCTGTCTAGTCGTCCAGATGGGATGGGAAAACCGATGTCTCATGCACACATTGGTGTGCTTGTAAAAGATCCCCTGGCAGTTGGAATTCGATAAAAGAGTAGGCTGTAGTGACGGGAGGGGCAATAAAACTACTGAGGAAACTTGTGTAAAACAGAGTAGTTTGAGCAAGTAAACAGTCTACATGAGAATATGGAGGAATATGATCCATACTGAATTGTAAACATTCGAACAACTGACTCTACAATTATTTTAAAGGGTTAGGAAGAATGGTAGAAATTTGAAATAACTATTTCTTTGGAATTTTTTTTTAACATATGATAAACTGGAATAATCATGAAATATGATAAATACCTGGGTGTCTTGACCTCTAAGAACTATAAATGGTGCCAGAGAATCTAAAATCTGTTCTCCAATCTGTAGATCAGACCTAAAATAGAAGTAAAGTATCTCCATTTGTCAGGCTCCCCAGTCTTGTTTTTGTGTGTGTGTTTGTCTGTGATTTAGATTGTATTGTTTTGATTTATGTTTTCATTAACAAGATATCCCCAGTGGATTTGGCAGACTGCAATACCTGATCTATAACCTAGAATATTTTGTTTACAATTTGGCTATTTGATATCATAAGGGTAGGCCATTTAAAGCCAGTTCTTTCAACAGTTATTTGACTGAATTGCTCTATGGCCATAAAGGGGCAACATTTTAATAGCTACCTGATCTGTAGAGAAGAAACTTGAATGTAAACAGGGGTGATATGACGTAAACAATTGCTGATCAGATAATCCATAAAAAATGTATTTCCAGTGAGGAACAGCAGTGAATCTAGTTTAACTATCATTCGTTGTCGTCTTGGTAGCGCTATTCTAACATTGGTATTTTTAATCATCTCATGCTCAAGAATATCACGGAGTAGATTTGGTAGGATATCATCTGTCAATCTTGAAGCTTCAACGCCTGAAAATATTTTTAAAATGAACCACAATAAATAGGGCCTACATTCAGACCTGCCGTTTTTTTTTTAAAATCATGTATTTCGGATATATAAAATAACAATTTAAATATTTTTCCAAACATAAATTCTTATTCAGTGATTTTACTCAAGGGTCTTGAGCAGTGGAAGTCAGGGCCGTAACTAGCTCAGAGCAATAAGGGCGGGCGTGAAGTGTTCTCAGGGGTGCTGTAATATTGACGGACAATGTATATCTATTTTTTTATGGTCGAAAATTTGTTCAGGATCAAGGGCAATAACTATGTATAAAAATCTAGATCAAGGTGATCCAACACATTCATATAGTTGCCATGTCGGTTGATGATGTCATGGAAATATGACGTTACATGTATCTGTTAAGTTGTCTAGCTTGGTGGACATAATAAACTCATTGACCCGTTACTCACCTGCAGTCTGAGCAATGACTTTAGCTAATTTCTTCGGGTTTAGTTGAGATTTGGTCAGGGATAAAATTGGCCACATTTTTACAATAAGTTTACAGAACATTGCATCTACAATAAAAATAGGAATTAAATGCAATGGAAACAATAACATACATTTTATTTTCCACATAAAAACTGATTTTCAAATTTTCTATCATCTAACATCTATATGCCCATCAACAACTTTGTCATCTGGGTTATCATGATGAAATTTGGGAATATAATTGTGCTTTCATTAGGATTTTGTCTCAAAATCAAACTGAAAAATATTGCAATACAACTAAGCACATGGCCATATGTATTGCAATAATTATGAAAACCATGCACAGTGAGAACAATATTTCATCCATTTATGGATATTCTTTAAACATGCCTGTTTGTGGCGGTACAGTAAATAAACATATTATCTAATGAACACAATGATAGAAAGTATGATTTCATATACTAGACAACCATTAAACATTTGAGATCAAAATATTATGCTCAATTTTGTATAGCAATATGTATTACAATATTTTGACATACTGATCTTTCTTGACAGTCCTAGTTTTCATCCTTCAGAAAACTGTCGTTTCAGCTAGAGGACCACCTTCAAATGTTTGGATAGAATCTGTTGTAGTAAATGTTTGACTATATAGTGATTATCGGTTTCACCATCAGTAATTCGCCGATAAGTGGCCTATCGGTAGAAATCAGTATTGGCCCATACTAAGTTGCCGATATCCGTTCAAAAAGACTTGGCAAATACCATTAAAATATTATTTGAATTGTGAACAAATCATTCTCCCTTGACCCTTTTATTTATGTTGTCGTGTGAGTGACTATTCGGACATAATACAAAATATGACACTCAACATATGGTTCAATTTTATTTCAATAATTATTAGCTTGTATGTTGGGGTCCTTAGCATTGGGGGGAAACTGGAGGACCCAGAGAAAACCCATGAGATTGGACAGGCGAACCTACTCATCACGTTCAAGCATGAAATCAAAACCACGCCGATATGTTTAACTGTCAATATCTGAAATCGGTAAAACCGATATTAGCCATATCGGCACATAACTAATATGGAAACTTTTTATACAGCCCTGTGGTTGTACAGTCGAATGTGGTATCAGAGGGAGAAGATACAACATAAACTGTCTTACTTAGTTTAAATCCACGGAGATCAACACATTTTATTTTACAGCGTTTCTTTCTTCCGACAATTCCTCTAAATACCACCAGATCATAGCCCATTTCTTCTTGAAATATTTCAGTGTATTTGACATCACCATACAGAATTTCACGAAAACTATAAATCACAAAATTTAGAAATTAATAAATCAAAAAATTTTAGATTGAACAGAAAAAAATTAATCAAAGACCAACATTTAGGATCTTAAAATCTGACAATCATTTGCCAAAGACAAAGTTGACAAATACATGTAATGAATGCCGATTTTGTATGAGGCAAAAAATAGAGTCGTGTGTTGACAATAGGAAAGAAAATGAGTTTCCTCCCACAGTTAAAGAATATTATGCACAAGCGAACTAATGAAATGAAATTCAACCCCAAATGACCTAGTTTGTGTCGAGTGGAGTGTACTGGACGTTTCTCTCTCTAGAAGTTAGAACTGAAAATAAAGAGCTTATAATGCACCACGCCCCATCACTGGAGACAGTGTATTATTTAGTTTTGAAAGAAAAACACTTGGTTTCTCATATCTAATAGCATTAGAGAGTATTGTTCAGAAAGTTGTTAAAATCGTCCAGAACAAAAAAGCATAATGGTTTTTACTACCCTTTAGTTTTTAAAACACACACATTTTGTTATCAGGAGGAGCGTCTAGTTTACTTGTTCAGTCTGAAGCTTCTAACAATATACTCAAACCTGATAAATATAACCCGGTAATTCAAAGTGACATGATTACTTTACTTAAGATCAAAAATAGAACTGTTAGTTTGTTGGTTGATTTGTTTCACACAAAAAATACAGTAGACCAAGCAAATCTTGATCAGGATACATTAATTTGTATAACCAATTTTGTGTTGAACAGGTGAAATATTGTTCTAATAGCAATAAATAAACTTCCCAATGGAATTCACACATCAGCTAATTGCAATAGCAATACAACACCTTAGTTCAACCTAAACAAAACCTATCATTTATTATATGATTATCATACCAGGTTTTGCTTTTGTTGTTACCTAATACATGTACCTACCATAAATCTGAAAGTGGCCAGTTTGCAATTAAACAGCTAACAGCTGCTGGTTGGACATTATCTATGGCAGCTCGCAATAATGTTGGTGCCAGATGACACGGTGCTGTTTCTATAGCCAACTCGGCTAACTGGGGCCATTTGTTGATTGCCTTACAACTCAGCAGAACCAGTGGTTTCACTTTATTTTTGGTAGGTTTATCTTTATTAGATGATGGGTTCACTTTTAGTCGTTCATAATCGATTCTATCTGAGGCTTTAAACATGGTCTGTAATAAGAATAAATTTATTTTCAAAACTTTAGTAACATTTATGTGATCCCAACCTTTATAGAAATAACATATCAAATATCAAATGCCAATTGAACACCGTGTTTTGACATAATTCAAAGAGAGGTAAGCTAAATAATTTAAGCACTGCGAAAAAGTGCTAAGAATTGGCTAAGAATCCACTATGAATTTTCAATAGGATTTGCTAGGAATCCATGACGATTTTTTTCTAGGGTTTGCTAGAAATCGACGGCGAATTTCACTAGGAATCCACAGTGACTTTGTGCTAGGATTCGCTAGGAATCCACTGTGCTTCGTCATGGATTCATGCCCTAAATGAAATTATAAAGTTTGTTTATTATATTTACTCCTCATTAATATGACACGTGATATACTGGTCCCCTGTGATTTATGATGCATGGAAATTTTTGATACGCATTGTTTGTTTAAATGAAGAGTGTATGTTAAAGCCCATCGTATCTAATTTATTTATTTTAATTAATATTAATACATTGTGATGTAATTGTGCAACATGATCCAGCTCTTCAATTCTTACTAAATTATGAAATAATAAAGTTTGTGTTTAATTATATTATCTATTATCGGTATCTGACTTACATGTATATACATGTACATTGTAATTCAATGATTATCGGATTATCATTCATTGCTTCTTTATTGTTTTGGCAGATTTTTTGATGTGACATACATGTACCGTTTCTCACTTCGCGGAATGATTTACAATGTATGGCACCATTCTGTAAGGATCTTGGATTTAGATTAAGTGAACCTGCGAGTAATGAAGTAAAATGTAAAAGCCATTTGTATATAATTTAAAATTTGTATATAATAGTAGCCAATGATTAATGTATTACATCTACTTGCCACGATGTGGAAGTTATAGATGAAGACCAAATGATATGTATAAGAAATTGTGTATAAGAAATTGTAAGTCGTTCAATGTTCGCATACATGTATAGCCCCCACCTAATATGTATGTACCGTACTTTAAAAGAATCCTAAACAATATGGATTACCGGTGAACGTTTTCCTGAAATTAATTAATTAATCATTGGATTCGTATTCAAACCTGTTTGTACATTATATATGTAGGCTACACGTTTTCACGGCAGCCAGTCTGCAGAGTATGTCCAGTGCACCCACAAGTAATTTTTTTCAGAAATCGGTACAAGCAAATTTTCTTTAGATTTGCACACCAGTTTGGCACGACATTTTACCTTGCACGCAGCAACTTTACTTCAATCAGTACTAATTGTCATTTTTTTCTGTATACAATAATCTGTTGTCAATTCACATTCGATAATAACGATGATACGCGACATGCAAGGGAGACAACTGACATAATAGTAAGTAGTGAAGTGACTCAGTGTGCGAGTCAAATTGACCCAATCGAGTTGCCATATATGTGGCTAATGTATGCATGCAGTGGTTGCTTTAATTTTGAATTTCAGTGGTTTTTTTTTGAAATTACACGTCAGACAGAAATAACATAATTTACCACTCGCGGATTTATCTCCTTCATGCTTGAAGTGTTAGGTTTCACGACGGAATTTAGTAAGGATTTTCATTGCACGCACGAGATCTCGTCAAAATCGGACATACTCTGCAGATTGGCATGGCAGCATTACTATTATTTTACAAGGCTTTGAGTTTATTGTAGACAAAATTAGTTTGAGCCTTGCTTCCTCACTCAAAAATAAGATACATGTAAATGTATTCAACTAAAATAAAGTACATTTTTCTTCAACAAGCTAGGATCGGGATGTCAATGGCATGCAAGCGATCCATCGCTATCCACCGTGATTTGCCACACTAGCGATTCGCTAAGAATTCAGTAAGAATCCCATGAAAATCACTAGGTGTTCACTGATTTGAGATCCAAACTCTAGCAGTGTTCTGTGCTGAGACTGTAGCTAAATACATTTGCATATATGACATGTGATGTGTAGGCCTACCTTTTAAAATGCAACAAGCAGCATCCAGCAATAATTAACACAATGACAATTTAGACGAAAGTATAAAGGTTTTACAAATGCAAAGTTACGCAAAAATGTCCATGAACACGCTAATGTTGTGTGTTCAGACTTTTTTACTTTTTATTGTTTTGTTTTTTTATTTATTTCTCAACAAAAACAGATTTTAAAATATAGCATCATAAACATACTGGCAAAAGAAGGTGTACACATAATATTAGGCATTGACAATAAAGCCGTAAGTTAGAGTAATTACCATAGATTATTGAAACCCTGGACATAAACTCGAACATAAACTGAGTTATTTATAAAGTCAATGAGTTATTTCCTGGTTGTAAAAATACCATGAAAAGTCCGCCATTTATGTTTCTTTCTCACAAATTCTCGCGAGATTAATTGGTTACCAACAATTTCATCCATGCAATAAAACGAAAAACGTCCACGTTTTGTAACAAATTTGTATTAGAAAAACGGTTCTTCACTAAAACATGTTCGCAACATATTAATTGTTTGAATTAGCATCAAACAGTATTCTTTTTCGGCCTATATATAATGTTTAAATTAATATCATCACGTGACATCGATCACATGATACGTAATCTTACAATATGGCGGACTGTCATTTTGTAAAAAAAAAATCATTAATTTTTATATCGAATGAATTACAAAAACATATTAATCTGTCACAATACTAAGTGAATATGGCTGGAAAAAACATAGTCAATAAATGTCTGGGAACAATAATGGAGTTTTTTTGCTGGTCAAAATTTACAGCTATACAAAAGATTTTATGTGTTGGAGTCAGTATATTTATGTGTGCCTCTGTCATCGGTTATTGGTTCTCATTCGTCATTTTTTGTGCCTCGATATTTTTATCGAATATTATAGTATCTTATTTTGTGAAAAGAATCACCCCAATTCAGTCTGAGTATTTATTGTATTTTGTGCGTTCTGTCAACAGTGTTTGCCAATTATTCCAAGTAACCGAATTCATCAAAAGTGATAAAAAATCGCATAGTTCTGATGACCATTCAAATGAATGTAAAATTGACAGAGAGTTAGAGATATTAATTGATCTCATACAGCATGATTTTATCAAATCTTGGTATGTGCACTTTAGTGATGAAGAACAAGTAATAAACGAATCTCGTATTTTATTTTATGAAGCTAGTCAAAATCTGAAAAGGAGAATTAAGCATCTAAAGCGTGAAATATGTGCCAAACAAATTATAGATCTCTACCGCAAACACATCACCTCATATCAAGTAGCTAAATGGACATTCAACAGTTTGAAAGAACCGAAAATAAGGACAGGGAGTCTGACATCTCAGGGTAAAAAGGTATCCCGACCTTCATCCATCGAAGAAGCCTATCAATTACAATTTCATCCAGCACTAACTGACCAACAAAGTGAAGAAAATTATCTCCAAAATGTTATAAAATTGCTCATGTGTAAACTCTTCCCCCAGAATTTTACTTTTTGCCTCAGTGCTCAAATACTTATTAACGAAATCCTGTTAGCCAATATCTTTAAAGTTCTAATCAACAAATTTTCTGCTCCAGATTTCCTTTTTTGGTGTATTATCAAAATTACTAGCAACGAATTGGACCAAGTTGAAAGTGCTACAAAATCAGAAATTTTAGTTGACCATCAAAAAAAAGAAATCAACAAAAAGGAAGAATCAGAATTTTCAGAAATTGTCTCAGATCAAAATGATTTAAAAGAAGACAATCAAACAAATGACTACATCATTCCACTGACCCCTCTAAAGCCTAGTCGATCTACAATTCCCATAGTTACCATAGAAGGGGCAGACAACTTTGAAGAGACGGTTTGTGAAGCTGCACATTCTGATATTGGGGATACTCAAGCTTTAAATCAGAACATTTACACAGATTGGAAACCAAAATCAATTTTATACGATGACGACAATATTAGTCAATGTTCAGATTTATCTGCTCGCTCAGATACTGACACATTTCATGACATTGAATCTGATGACATGTCATCACAATATGACATCATAGAAACCGTCAGTGACAACAATGCTAAAGTTACAACCAAAAATAATGTTCTTAGTGATAATAATAAAACTGAAGTACATAAAGTTGACACTTCTATCACTGATACAACTTTGCCTTCATCAGATGAAAACAAAGAAAATTTGACCAATGACACAACACCAGTATTAAGTGACAGCTCATTAATCTTTCAAGATGTCAGTATAACTGATACAGAAACAGCAACAGAATTTAGAAGTCAAAATAGTTATACACTTTATATTGTTCAGGTTTGTTTCATTTGAAAATTTGATTACTGTTAAGCCATCTTTATAAAAGATGCAGATGTACATGTATTATATAATCCTGGTTACACTTTACAGGAACAAAAATTGCTTCAAATACATGTACATGTATATATGTAGTTCTTAGGTAATTGCAGTCGTGTTTCACAAAAGCATGTAAAGTTCTTTAGTAACCTTTAATGGTTTCTTAAGAAATTGTCAATTGGATGGATAGAAAGTAAAAAAACACAAAATAAACAATTTTGAATGACTTATTAGATACATTTATATTTTTAAACTTAAAGATCTGATGGTATTGATCACGTTAGGAATGCATTCTTTACTTAAAGTTGAACTGGAATTGATCCAAAGTTGATCCCGATTGTCACCATTATCTGTCTTCTACTAGTTCTAGGTATACATGACCTTTCTTTTTTTTAATGAATAGTTTTGTTTATATTTTAGTTTGAAGCCATGTATTTTTCTGACAAAGGACCAGTTTTACGGTCTGGTACAACCAAACGACGTTTCCGTGAATTTGTCAATTTGAACTCCAGACTAGATAACAATAGCTATTATAAGGATTTATTAAAAGGTATGAGGCAGAATATGGACATGTATGTGTAGAAAGACTAACTGCATTGTCAGCAGAATTATGTTAATCTTCTTGTATCTCCCTTAAGGTCACTATACAATGTACACCATGATTCTGTTTCTCCCTAGTGCTATTACATGGACATGTACATATATTCTGTTATCAACCAACATTGATACAATCAACAGACTTTCCAGAAAGCGAAGGTCCCATTTACACTTCAGTGTGCATGTAATAGAACCCTTGGCAGTTGGAATTTGATAAAAGAATAGGTCGTAGTGCAGCTGTCCGGGCAAAATTTCCCTCATAGCATACTGTTTGGCATATGCCATTCCTTGTTACCCCAGTCGGTGTAGACGTTAAACCCATTTCATTTCATTTTATCTCTTAGTTTTTATCTTTTAGTCGTAAAAGGACCAAAGAGGTGGCTGAATTTACCATTTAAAAATATGGACAAGGAGAGTGTGGAATCTAGAAAGGCTTTTCTTAATCAGTTCTTGAAGGTGAGCTTCATGTTATCTTTGATATTGTTAGTATTATATGTGTGGGAGTATGTTAAAATTAAGAGAAGAAACTATTGATAAAACAAATCCAATATAGTCATTTAATTTGGAGCTCAATACAAAGTTTCGAATGTTCTCCTAACCAACTGTGCATTATAAAGTTTACAATAACCTGTGATAAAAAAATGTAAGTCAACCCTAAGATACAAAGTTTTTCTACATGTATATAGGGATTTGATTATGAAGATGAATAGAAATTGCTGTTGTTATAATAATTAATTATAATTTAATTCAACTGCTCTTAAAGTTATTGGTGGCGTCGAGGTTTACATGAATTATATTGATAATTATTCTTTGGAATCTGATTTACCAGATTTTTTATTTCAGAGTTTGATAGAAATAGAGGCTATATGTAATGGTCCTGAATTACGTGAGTTTTTAGCGTATGAAGGAGACAGCCATATTGCATTTGTTAAAAAATCTTCGGAAATATCTGTACCAAGAATAGATAAGGTTTGTTTTTTACATGTATATATTGGTTCAGTTTAATATTCATTTGGAATAACATTTTCTGACTTACCATTATTGATGTTGAGTTTAAAGAATGATCAAATTAGGTTTGTAAAATAATGAAAAATTGGGTTATCTATTTGTTAGATGTTGTCTTTTATGTCTATAACAGTGGTTCTCAACCTTCTTTTGCCAACGGCACATCTTGGAACACTAGTCATAGACACATAGAATGACTCAAACTAAATAAAGAAAAACACCACAGCCATGAACTTATCAGTAGACACCAGTGAATACTCAATTGGGATCATGTGTTTTTTTGCATTTTCTTAGTGTGCCGTTCATAATTCCGCGGCACACTTAGGAAGATCTCGCGAAACAATGGTTGAGAATCACTGGTCTATAATATGCAGCCAACATCTTTGTTCACTGAGGTGGGGTGATGGGCGATGCTGTCTTTTGAATTCTACCATTACATGTACACACAAAAGTAAATAAATGTGAGAACTTTTGTGCACTGCTTGGATGACATAGCTACTTTGGGCATAGGTTTCATTGCCTGGCAACCAATCTTTTTATTTGTGATAATATTTAATTGTGAAATCGTTTTTGTGAAAGCTTTGTGGCAAGGGTTTTAGAATTATTTATTACTCAGATTCTCAGTAAATCAAATTCACCGATTTTGTTAGACAGTAATTGTATATGTTGTATTAACAGATGTTAGTGAGGACAGTATCTGGAATGTTCGACAAAATCAAATCTTTACCAAGTCTATCTCAAGATGTAATATCGGGTATAGTCAGACGGGAAACATCTGTAGATCGGAAACTGGAAGAGAAATCACCAGAAATAGATAAAATAGACCTGGAATTTGATCACCAGGTAACATTTGATTTAAATATTTTCATTTGTATTGAAAATGTACTATGATGTAAAAAAACCGAAAATTGGACTAAATATGTTTAATATATTTAGTTGTGTAGGTGAGAGATACAAAAGTACAATAATGGTTTATTAGCTATGAGAAGTAATATCAGGTGCTCAAAGGTCGTGACTATGGGTTCCATGTCAGCCATATATGTCAGTCATGACTGAGGGCTATGGAAAATGACTCATGGAAAAATAGCATATTTTTCAAAACCCAGTTTTCTAACATGGCCACCATCGATGTCCACCGATTAACTATAAAATTCAAAGGCCTGAGAGAATAATGCACACTTATTGAAGCCACATTATCTCATGTTTGGTGTAATATACTTATATACATATTGTCAACTGATTATACTGAGTGTTGTGTTGATAATTAATGATGAATGTCTGGTAGTAGAACAATAAAAGTTAATTGTTATGTGGGAGTATTATCAATGATGAGAAGTGGTCCATTCTTAGTCATTCTGTTTGAGCACCCACAAATTGTTCACATGTCATAAGAATTTTCTGGAAAAAAGGTGCTATGCCTCTATTATGGTCACACACAGTCAAAACAAGATTATTATGATTTTCGAAAACAGACCAATCAGATATGGAGTACTGCTCTTCGAATCCAACCAACTGTCATATTAAATAAAAACAGCACAGAAATTGTGTTCCTGTGCTGTTTTTATTTAATATGACAGTTGGTTGGATTCGAAGAGCAGTACTCCATATCTGATTGGTCTGTTTTCGAAAATCATAATAATCTTGTTTTGACTGTGTGTGACCACAGCACAGAAATTGTGTGTGTGATTTTCTGCGATATCACCACGGTGGAAGCGGACGTAAAATACAACTAACCAACAACGAAATTGTGTAAATTCTCAACATGTTTGGAGAAAACTGCATTAGAAAATGTATACAGCGGTATTACAGTCTTGTGCGAATTTCAGAAATAAAAGCTAGAGATTAGTAACTTGCTTACCGAAAAATTAAGAATATTACGTATTCCAATGCTATTTTATAGCAATATTGACAAATCGCGTGTCGTACAAATGTAATGTATATGTTTATGTTTATTCTTAATATGCACTACTTACCATAGACTAAGGGGCATTAGTAGCACTAGCTGTGAAGTTAGTCTTTCATTCAAATTATAGTTATTCAATATTAGGATTTCTGTCACAATTCTGCGGGTCATAATATTGTAAGAGATGGTCTATAACCGATAAATGTCAGAAATGTGCTGTAGATAATTATATATTTATCTCCATTTCGAAGTTATTGTATTGACGCTCAAAATTATCATGGTCAGTGGGTTTTCTATAGAGCATGTGGTGTGTGAGCAACTGGAATGATTTTTCTATGGCCAATTCAGCTCTTTATTTGTCTTTAACCAAGTAAGAAGTTTCGACAATAAAAGCTATTTAAATAGCCAAAAAGGAATATTCATTAATATTTAATTATTTTATAAGCCCTACTACTATTTTATTTCTTAGTCTAATATATAATTTTTCGTGTACATCATGCTGACAAAGTGGTATTGACACGTAAATTCACAATACCCTACCATGAATAAAAAATATTAATTTAATTTGCAAAGTTTCCGTGCTATTATCAAAAATGACCTACAGTAGGAATTTTGAAGTGGAAGCCTTGCTTTTGACCCTTGTTCATTTTGTAAACCGTTATGAATGATTTAAATGACAACAGTTATCATCTGATCTACTTTTGTGGACTGCTAAGAAGTCTTAGCTGGCAGTATACAGCCTGGCAACCAATCTTTCTTACCTTAAAATTTCAGGAATCGCCGTATCCACATCATCTGGATAAATATATAGATTTCTGTGATATTGCTGATGTTTTTATGGAAACAGGGAATGAAACAGGACAAGGAAAGGACAAGGCCAGTGAACTGCAAGAAGACATCTTGTCTTTATTGCCACGCTTACAAGGCGATGGTTCAGAATCTCCAAGTGAACCCTGGGAAAAAGGTAAATTTAAGATCTTTTCGCAAATCTATTTAATTTCATCCAAAGCACTAATGCAAATCTTGAACTGAATTTTTTTCTAGACATGTTTATCTATGTTTGAGTTTGTTTCTCGTTGTAGATCATTCTGAAGTGACTATGTGTCCACCATTGGCTGAAAGTGTCCTTGATCTTGCTGTTCAGATATTTACAGGTCGTGACCTCTGGTTTAGCCGTCATCGTGTTTTAACAGTACTTAAAGTGACAATAGGTCGAGCTTTAGATAGGTAATTATTGTAAACTTTCTGAACGTGACTTGACCCTTTTGATTTGGAGTGATGAGTTGCTTTCATAAATCTTTTTCTTCAAGATTCCAGCTTGATTGAATGGGGTTATTTTCTATATGTAGACTTTTTTATTTAACATCTGAACATCTGTTTCCATGTTAAAGCTTATATGGTATATGGATAGACCACTGTCATTACACTTTATATCGGTTTTCTTTAGGTTTATACAAGATGAAATCTGTGATTTAACGAGCGAGGATCAGTGGCAGTTATATATTTCTTTAATTCGAGAAACAATCTGGCCAGACGGCAAGTTGTCAGACGATCAACCACCAATCAAAACAGAGAATGAAAAAGAGGCAACAAAAGAAATGGCTAAAAAGTGCTTAACTGAATTTTTCCCAGGTTAGAAGAATAGATAACTTTACTTCTGTAGTATTAACAGAGTTTGGCATTAACAAAAAAATCTCACATTGTTTTGTCGACCATGACATTGTTCCATTGTTGAGTAGAATATTTACATTATGCATTTGTATTCATCCAAGACTAAAAAACTTATTCCAGAAAAGTTGCCAATAATTATCATTTAGCTTCTATTTCTGTGATTTTCAAAGAAGACCATACAACAGGTAGATGATTGAAAGTCCTACTTTTTTTCACATCCACTTGTGGGATGAAACCCATCACTTGCATAGATGACAGGTCTTATGATCTACACCATCTGTAATGTAAGGAATATTCCAAAATGTTATTTTCTCTTTTAGGTTGGTTACGGGGCTTTGTTGGACTGGAAGAAATGGACTATGGTGTAGATGAAGTTATTAAGTCTTTACAACATGAAAAATTAAATAAACACTTTTTGTTTTCGATGTTGGATTTTGCAGTAGAGGAATTATTTCCAGAAGTCAGTTCACAAGAATTACAGTCAATTCTATTGTCTTCATGATGATATAGGGACAACAAATAAGGAAAGATAGTCCAGATCATCAAGATGTATGATACACAATTACGAAAACTGTGCAGCACAGCAGGGTAGGAGAAACAATATTTGAAGTGAGATAATGCCAACAAAAAAACAAAGAATATATGTTAAGTTATGGTATGAATTTTTGTATCACATGCCTTCTCATTTTCACTAGCACACTCTGTGTTCAGAGTGGTTTGTTGTATGCAGATTTTATCTGCACTGGATGTTAAATATGCATGGTTATAAACTAAACTAATTCGACAGAAATATCTGACAAAAATTGTGTCAGATGTTCCTAATTAAAGATACATTATGCAAGAGCTAAATCTGTCTATTGCAGGTCTTTCTTTAGACCTGAAATGTTATCTAAATTATTAATTAGACATTAATTAATCTATCCAGACCATAATCAACTCTAGATGGCATCGCTAGCCTGCGATCTTTAGTGGATTATGAGCCGATATACTGCATATCTTTCCTTCACGATTTAACGATTAAATGGATAATCGAGACTATGCTGTTTATCGTACTGACTTTAGTAATGATGATCAAGACTAGCTGGAAATTTCAACCGCTTATTTCTCGGTTCATAGTGGATCAATTTGAATGAAATTTTCAGCAAATTGCCTTTACATTATCCAATTTTTAACTATTATAGTGAGAATTGCCAACTCATTATCGAAGCTCCCATAATGTATCTTTAAGATACTTGTTGTTTCTGAACCAGTCGTTTAAATTTTGGGGTGCTTTTTATGAAAAATTATAACCAAATACTTGATGGTAGTGTAGTAATGTTAGTATGAAAAATACTGTTTTGTCTATATATGGTATATAGACTCAGTTATCAAGTACACAACCCTGATAGATATTATTGCCATCATATATTGACTCATGGCAACTTCAATTTTGCCTAATTTTTAGACATCTTCTAAGCCTATTCTTGCATAGATTATAATTATCCTGCAATAGCGACTGTAGATTCTGCCTAATTTTTAAAGATTTTCTTAGCCCATTCTTTCATGCATTATAATTATCATAAAAAACTAAATCCAGTAAAGAGAAAAAAATGACTATTATTATATACTCCATGGAGATTGAAGATGGAAGGAGAACTACAAAATCTTGTGTTAGTCCGTAGACCAAGATGACAGAAAAGGTATGTGCGCGAATCTGGTCAGAGTAAGTGTCTATAATGCTGCATGTAATTTGAAATCTGATGTTTATGGTAATGATACTTATGTGCTAGGAAAGCAAGGTAAATGCCTACATTTCTTTGATTTGAGTCATAAATAGAAGTGTCCATTAATTAAGTTTATAGCTGATTTTGTGTCAATAGTTATGCCAACTTCTGCTTAATATTTTGAACTGAAAATTTAATTGTATAGATTTTGTGCCATAAATAATAGAAATAAACATGACATGACAGTCAGATCATTGGATCAACCCAATTCAACACTTTGTGAGATAAATTTTAGAGGTTTAGCATTTTAGCTCTCATAAACCTTTTTCAACAAAATAAAAGATAATAGTGAATGTATTGTCACAATATAACCTATAGTTATAAATAACCAATGAACATTTTAAAAGTCCCTTATTAGTATGAAAATTCTGGGCCTTATATTCATCACGTGTGAAATATTTTAGATATAGGCCAGTGAAATGCAGAATATATTTTATGTTTAATTTGATTTTTTTAATATATCATTAAATGTCTGGTATTTGCTAAATTTCTATACGCTACCTCACTTAAAAGTAGATTTTTTTTAATATACCAGGCCAGTTATTTGTTGGTCAAATTAATTATGTTGCACATGTTTGTAAAAGTGAATCTTCCACACCCACCCAGGGTCCTCATATTTGTGAGCTAGATAATTTTCTTTTTTCATTTTATATATCCACAATGAAATGTTGCTGTATATTGTCACCACCTCTGTTCGCCCATTGATCTGTCTGATTACAATTTTTGTGGATGTTCTAGTGTTAAAGTTATCGTCTGTATGTATATTCATAATGATTTTCAACAATTTTACAAAGTTGAATCCTGACCGGTTCATGTGGAAGGTCGTGTCAGGGGTCATAGGGGCGGCTTTCGACCCTATGACATCGGACACTTGATTAACCAATCAGCGTTGATGTTTCTAGTGGGTTATCCACATTTCCGTGCACCTCACACCGAAAACTCACCGTAAAAGACAGAACGTTTTATTGGCTAATCCCTCACATTATCCAGAATGCGGGTTATATAACAACTCTTCCAGATCCTAGTGTAGTAAAGACAAGTAAAACCAAATTTTGAACTATAAAAAATAAATGAAATAGGATCTGTGTTTTGATCAGAATTTTGTTACACCTTAGTATGTGGCATGTATATTGACCTGCAGGTCAGTTTATCTTGCAGTGAATCACAATGCCTGTCAGTTCAGTCTGACAAATTTATGATTGGAATGAGAACACTGGACTCACCCCTACAATCCACTCTTTTTATTAATTAATAGTATTGATTATTAATTATTATCAAGACTTATTTATAATGCGCACCATGTGTATTTTATAATTTGTGGATATTTTGCTTGTATTCTATTGTGCTGTATTAAAACCACACCTAGAAAAGAACATATGAATTAAATATAAATATCCTTATTGTTTTTCATGTAAGCATTATAATTTTGAATAGAAAAAAAAAACACTTAGGATGCATATATTGCAGAGACAGAAACAAAGGTTAGGGGGTAATTTAGGGGTTTTCTTTCACACATTTGTGTTCCTCAATGTGGGCGTATATTTATATCCAATAAATCAACCGGCTAGTATATTGTCATCGTCCCCGTCCATCCGGCGTCCACAATTGCTTGTGGACGCTCTAAAGGCTAAAGTTAATGTCTGATTGACTTTGAATTTATACACAGTGTTTAAGGTCATGAGACGAAGAAGCCTATTGATTTTCAGCGATTTCCGATAATTACTGCCAGAGTTATTACCCTTGATCACTTCAAAAAATCTTGTGGACACTCTAGAGGCCAAAGTTAATATCTGATTTACGTTAAATATATACACAGTGTTTAAGGTCATGAGACGAAGAAGCCTATTGATTTTCAGCAATTTCCGGTAATTACTGCCAGAGTTATGGCCTTTGATCACTTAAAATATCTTATGGACGCGCTAGAGGCTAAAGATAATATCCGATTGAATTTAAATTTATACACAGTGTTTAAGGTCATGAGACGAGGAAGCCTATTGATTTTTAGCGTTTTCGAATAATTACTGCCAGAGTTATAGCCCTTGATCACTTCAATGAAAAAATTTATGGACGCTCTAGAGGCTAACGCTAATATCCGATTCACTTTAAATTTATACACAGTGGTTGAACTTTGAGGTCATGAGACGAAGAATTCTATTGATTTTCAACAATTTCCGATAATTACTGCCAAAGTTATAGCCCTCGATCACTGTGAAAAATCTTGTGAGGCTCTAGAGGCTTAAGTTATCATCCGATTGACTTCAGATTGATACACTGAGTCTAAGGTCTTGAGACGAACAAGTATATTGATTTTCAATCTATTTTGATAACTTGAACAGCTAAATCGCTCATAGTAAATGTTTCGTATGCTAAACGTTAGCATGGGGCAGAACTTTTGAAAAACCAAACAAATTTTAAAGATTTTCTGATAGTTACTTAATGAGTCATTAGATTTTAGTGTATTATAAATGTTTCATTACCGAAAAAAGTAAAATATGTGACAACTCTTGTTGACTGCCGTGACGATTTAGCTACTGTGGACGTATATTTTCGTTGCCTGGCAATCTATCTTTATATTTTGATGAGACAATAAATATATTCATTTCATACCATTTAAATCTCTATGTTATTTAAAACACAAAAGGGTAAAGGCTATAACAATAGCTATGGGTGATTAAGGAAATTGCATGACGACTGTGGGCCTGGTTCCTAGAGAAATCTTACATGTAAGTCTTAAGTCAAATTGGTTTTGTTGATTTCCTGGAGTTTTAATATTATAATATTATTATATATTCAGCACTAACATAATAGAGCTTGGTAAATCTATGTGTTGTATACATGATTCAACATGTTTACCCATTCCTAAATGCAATATAAGTAACATCAAGCAATCCCTAAAGTAGTAATGAAGAATCCTCTCCTACTTTCTGTGAGTTAACACTAGCTACTAAATATGAAATCAAACACAGTGGAATATGGATTGAACATTATAATTAAATGATTTAAATCTTGGTCTTGCTCAAAGCCTGTGGACCAGTTGCCATTCCAATGTTCTGTGAAATTATTTTAAAATTTAGAGGTACACACACAAAAAAAAAAGATTATCATGAATATTCTAGGAACAGGGCCCTGTTTAATTTATATTTATTAAGAATTATTGTATTTTCTTACATTTGTTTTTATTTAATTAATTTATTTTTTTAGCACTAGATATAGCCCACTGTCACTTAGAGCCTTTTGATATTATATATGTGACTTTGATTGTACATTAAGTTTGTTTTGTGATTAACTTAAATTAAGTTTGTTTTGTTCATTAACTTAAATTAAGTTTGTTTTGTTCATTAACTTAAATTAAGTTTGTTTTGTACTTTATCGGTAACATAAATTAAGTTTGTTTTGTACATTAACTTTTGTTGGCAATATTTTGAACCACAAGCACTCGTCACTATGAATTAAGACATACCCAATAGGCCAGTAGCCTCTATCACTTGTCTATCCCTAACAGACAATAGCAATAGGTCTACTTTTAACAAACGGTGGTTATTTTTATATTTGGCTTCATTAAAGACTGGCACATTGATCTTGTGAGCCAATAAGCAGTTAAGACAAAAATATTGGCACATAAATGGAAGTATTCAATTGAGGGAGTTCAATTTACCCTTGTATTTGGAAAATGACCTTTGATTATGCCAGAATAATGCTTTACACCTTTGCATTTATTCTGAGTTCTGACTGACCTTAAAGGTCGTACATACAAGAACTTTTTCAGTTAATTTCATACACACAAGTGCCTGTGGTAAGAACCATTAAAGCCATTAAGAACAAAACCATATTTTACCCCTTGAGATTATTGTCTTATTTTAGATAAAGTTAATAAATTATTGGAGGAATTGTTGTAGTATAACATATATCACCTGCTGTTTTAGAATCCAGAACACCAGGGTTGGGAGAGGCAAACATATTTCTTTGTAATCTATTCTTTGGTATTTTTAATCAAATTATGGTTGGTTTGTGCAATTATATCAAACATGTGTTTTTGAATTTTCTTGCCTAGGGACTTGACTATAAGTTATTTAAATTTGCTACTAAACTATGTAGCTCTAATGTTATAGTACAATCAATATCTAATATCAGAGCCAGAAGGTATGACGATTGGAAAGTGTATATACAGTATATGTTTTAAAAAACATCAAGAGTAGAACTTATAATCCTTAAGTGGCATTTAGCGATTGAACACATTAAAAACACAACACAGTTTATATGGAAATACAATCACTGGTTTATAAGTATAGCACAACGTTTCGACAAGTATTCTCTTATCGATAAGACGTTACTTGTCGAAACGTCGTGCTATACTTATAAACCAGTGATTGTATTTCCATATAAACTGTGTTGTGTTTTTAAGAGTAGAACTTATTTTTATCTAAATGTATGGTAATTGAGTCAAATAGGGTAAATAAAATTAAAGACTCAAATGGTTTACTAAGCCCACAATAAATAAATTAATTATTCAGAATCAATCTGTTTAACAGAGGATTACGAAAGTCTTCTAATACCTCTGTAAAAGATAACTACCTTCAACACGTGGCGTCTCATCATGCGGTGTCAATCATTGGCTCAATGGCACGTGCATTGTTTACATAAGACGTTACTAGTTCGGGCGGAATGGAGTCTTTTACTCATTTTAATACCCATTTACACTAAATAGGAAATCATTTTTACCTACAAATACTTCAAACATCTTTATTTATTTTTCTAATACATAAAAAAAATGTTTAAGAATTTCATTTGTCTAAGGAAAAAAGTTAATATTTGTGGCTCATTAAGCGGTGGACACACTAGCCGAATGATTCAGCCGAATCAATCGGCGTCGAAATTCGCCTAGTGTGTCCACCCTCATTCGGCCGAATTTCTATTCGCCCGAATCAAACAGGTTTGATATATTCGGCCGAATTATATTCGCCTGGTGTGTCCGCTTCGCCGAAGCATTCGGCCGAATGTAGAATTCATTAGCCCATTCGGCTAGTGTGTCCACCCATTCGTCCGAATAAAATTCGGCGCCGATTGATTCGGCTAATGTGTCCACTGCTTAAGTCGCATCGATGTCATCCTTATCAGTGATTGTCACGGCCTAGCGAATATTCACTGTTGATTAGTGTGATTCAGAATGTCAACTAATGTCTCTTTTACCACTACTACATGTACTATGAGTGTATGCACTTTTTCATGTTGCACAGCAATGATGGTGTTTATTCAGTAGTTGTCTTTCATGTCTACCACACAATGGTGGGCTACATTAAAATTAATGTTTTGCTTAAAAATATATGGTCATTGGAACTGCATGTTTTTCATTGTCCTAGTTGAATCTTTAAAAGGAATATCAGTCTAAAATAGTTTCATTATGTTCCGTATTTACAAAGATATGATGAATTAAAAACATCTTCTGCTGACGATATAAAAGGGATGTGGTCAAAACAAGCAAGTGCCACCTATAATCTCGGCTAAAATCTTTTGATGTGCCTCATAATCTAATTGAATTCAAGCCTGCAGATAATCTATTGTTGATATTTTGATTTTGTTTCCGTAATTATATATTAATAAGCAATTTGAGTACATTACCGTGTGGTATAAACATTGAGATATTGTCTAACATATTCAAATGTCTATCAGCAACTTTAGAAAATAAAGTAAATTCAAAACCAATACAGGGACCATAACACTCTGAATTGTGTTTATAAAACCTTCTGGCTCTGATAGTATATAAGTTATATAAATCATTGTTAAAGATATGATAATTATTATATTTAAATGTTGTAATGATATAAAGTCATATTTATTTATAGATATATATATTGTTAATAAATATTAAAATATTATCATTTGTTTAGGCTATGTTCTCATATATACTATTCAAAAAAAGTAGGGGATATTTGATTTTGGGGGCATAATACTAAAATATGCAAATGACTACGAAAAAAGTCACTATAGAACCTAACAGAAGAAACATTTCCAGTTACATGTGACGCCCAAACGCACCAATAGCTACCGCATGGAATGCAGGTGATGCTTGGGATCATCATGGGGGTCCAACCCAAGATTTGCACGACTCTGACTTTGAATGTTACAGTCATTGTGGCATTGAATTCCAGGGTGGAAACATCAGTTTAATTGTTTTAGTTTCCAGGAAACAAATTTTGATATGCGTAGGCTTACCCAAAATGAAAGGTTACGTGCCCTTGGCATGCTACAGATCAGCACAACACAGGCTATGGTCCAGATACCTTGATACACAATCAGTACAGGACAGACCACGCTCAGGTCGACCAAGGGCAACAACTCAAGCCCAGGATCGATTTATCCGTACCTTGGCCTTGAGAAATCGTGTCATCACAGCAAATCAGATCAGCGCTCGTCTTCAAACAGACACTGGTGTGAGAGTGAGTGGCCAGACGATTCGGAATCGACTGCATAGGGGTCACCTTCGCGCCCGACGTCCTCGCGTGATCCCTTGTTTGAGAGATCATCACATTCAGGCAAGACGTCGTTGGTGTAGGGATCGTCAACACTGGGATAATCGACGCTGGAGCAATGTAATGTTTTCAGATGAGTCAAGGTTCACTGTAGATTTTTTGGACAGACGTAGGAGGGTGTGGCGTCGTCGAAACGAGCGCTTCCAAGACGTTAACGTCATCAGACATGATCGATTTGGGGGTGGTTCTGTTATGGTGTGGGGAGGCATCACTGTTGCTGGAAGAACGGCTTTACATGTTGTTGCAGGGCGTGTTACAGGCCAGTACTACCGGGACAACATCTTGGCAGTCCATGTTGTGCCGTTCGCACGACGTCATGGCCGCCGTTTCATCTTCCAGGATGACAACGCAAGATGTCACAGGGCCAGGATCGTTACAGGTTACCTCCAACAACAGAACATCACCACATTACCTTGGCCAGCACTGAGTCCCGACCTCTCCCCCATCGAGCATGTCTGGGACATGCTTGGACAGAGGTTACGTCAACGTCAACAACGTCCTGCCAATGTCCAAGAACTTGCTGCTGCGTTGCTACAGGAATGGGATAATCTGGACCAAAATGACCTTAGACGTCTCATTAGGAGTATGCCACGTCGGATCAATGCTTGTTTGGCAAACAGAGGAGTATTTACCCGTTACTGACTTGGTTGTGATGCTGTGGTAACTTTGCTGTTTGACCCCGGGTATCATTTTACCCTTATAATGGTCAGTCTGTGCCTTACTTAGTCTAACGATCATTTGGAATAAATCGATGAATGTGAACTTCATTTCATTTTGTCATTTGTTTCTTCGTCAGTTTCATTAGGTGACTTTAATAACACTTAAAAATCAAATATCCCCTACTTTTTTTGAATAGTATATGCTACTTTAAAAACGTGCGTGGGGGGTTTGGCGTTTAATTTAGTGATCAAAACCATTTCATACTAGTCCTGACCCACAATAGCGTGTGGTAGTTGTACGGTGAGTGACCTGGGCTCTAAAATAGAATTTTATGCGTTCCAGTGGACAGAGAAGAACATTCAAAAGTCCATTTGTCATGTTTAACATTGGACAAAAAACTGATATCCATCTGTGTTCTGCACATTGATGAGTATGTAAAAGAACTGATGATATTTACTCCGAAAAAGTGAAAGCAGAAACATTGTAGCCCGTGAAAATTTACCACCTTCGCATTGTACATTTTAACAGTAGAACCTAGAAATACAGGGTATACAAATACAGGGTCAGGAATTGTGAAATGAGCTACTGCCCCCACCCCCTCCAAAACAATAAAAACAAGCCAACAGTGAGGCTGATGTCCCCCGCCGAAATAGGAAAATAATTAGAGGACACATATAAATTTATCACAAATTATCTTTTACAAAGTATTGAACAATCAAACAGTATATCTTTACTTATAGTCTAAGCATACAATGTTTTTGATGGAATAATTATAGCATATTAAGGGGAAAACATGCTCTATGCCTACAGATCTAGAGTTTGGTTGTATCAACGGGTCTATTTTCCATCTTGCTGCAAGTTGTGCAAAGTTCACTGTTTTCTTTCTGTCATTAAATGTCAATTCATTATTGCATACTACATATTTAATTAATTTATAATAGTTTCTTTTTCAATTTGTTTTTTCTGCTTACCATAAGCGGAACGGACAGACAGACAAACAGACAGACGGACGAACCCATTTTAATAGTTCCCTGCTTTCTTCGAAAGGCGGGGGACAATCAAAGTAGGAGAGTTATTGTTTTCCAAAGTCTCGACCAATCAAATTGCGTATCGCTCTGCTTACCCTGAGCAGAAAATGCTCATTATCAAACTTAGTCAAGGTATTACTGTAATGAAACTATACACCAAGTTTCATCAATCTCACTTAATTAGAACTAAAGTTATCGTGTCCCAAAGCATCAACCAATCAAATTGCTTATCTCTGCTTACCCTAAGCGGAAAATGCTCATCTTCGAACTCCATCAAGGCATTGACCTAATCAACACATACACCAAGTTTGAACATTCTAGCTCAATTAGGAAGAGAGTTATCGTGCCCCAAAGTATCAACCAATCAAATTGCTTATCTCTGCTTACCCTAAGCGGAAAATGCTCATCTTCGAACTCCATCAAGGCATTGACCTAATAAACACATACACCAAGTTTGAACATTCTAGCTCAATTAAAAGTTATCGTGTCCCAAAGCATCAACCAATCAAATTGCTTATCTCTGCTTACCCTAAGCGGAAAATGCTCATCTTCGAACTCCATCAAGGCATTGACCTAATCAACACATACACCAAGTTTGAACATTCTAGCCCAATTACTGAAGAGAGTTATCGTGTCCCAAAGCATCAACCAATCAAATTGCTTATCTCTGCTTACCCTAAGCGGAAAATGCTCATCTTCGAACTCCATCAAGGCATTGACCTAATAAACACATACACCAAGTTTGAACATTCTAGCTCAATTAGGAAGAGAGTTATTGTGTCCCAAAAAGTGTGACGGACAGACAGACGGACAGACAGACGGACGAACCCATTTTAATAGTCCACTGCTTTCTTCGAAAGGCGGGGGACAATAAAAGATAATTGCCCTGGCCATTCAGATCATTATTTTGTTTACAGGCTGGGGCTATTTGCCTTATGTGGTAAGACAATCCCGAGACTCTTTGCCACATGTGGCAAGTCTCCGTACCGCAATTATCAACCGATTTCAATGAAACTTGCAGATTATAATTACATTAATAATATCCCAGAGTAGGCAAAATATCGACCACTTCCGGTCGATATCCATGAAACTTACAGAATATGATAACATTATAATATCTCAGAGTTGGCAAAATTTCGACCACTTCCGGTTAGCGGTTTCCGAGATATCAGGTTACCACACATTTCATGTGGCACGACAGACCACAATTATCAACGATATCCATGAAACTTACAGAATATGAGTACATTAATAATATCTCAGAGCAGGCAAAATTTCGACCACTTTCGGTTAGCGATTTCCGAGATATCAGGTTACCACACATTTCATGTTGCACAGCTACAGACCACAATTATCAACCGATTTTAATGAAACTTGCGGATTATAATTACTGTAACAATATCTCAGAGTAACCAAAATTTCGGCCACTTCCGGTTAACGATTTTCGAGATATTAGGTTACCACACATTTCATGTGAAACCGCTTACCGGAAGTGGTCGAAATTTTGCCTACTCTGAGATATTATTAATGTTATTATAATCAGCAAGTTTCATTGAAATCGGCTTGTAATTGCGGTCTGTAGCCGTGCCACATGAAATGTGTGGTAACCTGATATCTCAAAAAACGCTAACCGGAAGTGGTCGAAATTTTGCCTACTCTGAGATATTATTAATTTAATTATAATCTGCAAGTTTCATTGAAATCAGTTTGTAATTGCGGTCTGTAGCCGTGCCACATGAAATGTGTGGTAACCGCTAACCGAAAGTGGCCGAAGCTTTGCCTACTCTTGAGATATTATTAATGTAATTATAATCTGCAAGTTTCATTGAAATCGGTTGGTATTTGCAGTCTGTAGCCATGCCACATGAAATGTGTGGTAACCTGATATCTCGGAAACCGCTAGTGGGCGAAACTTTGCCTACTCTGAGATATTATTAATGTAATTATAATTTGCAAGTTTCATTGAAATCGGTTGGTAATCGCGGTCTGTAGTCGTGCCACTTGAAATGTGTGGTAACCTGATATCTCCGAAATTGCTTACCGGAAGTGGTCGAAATTTTGGCTACTCGGAGATATTATTAATGTTATCATATTCTGTAAGTTTCATGGATATCGGTTCATAATTGCGGTCTGTAGCCGTACCACATGAAATGTGTGGTAACCCCCATATTTCGGAAACCGCCAACCAGAAGTGGCCGAAAGTTTTGCTACTCAGATATGTTATCATAATCTGTAAGTTTCATTAAAATCAGTTGACAATATTGCGGTCTGTAGTCGTAAGGCTATTTTGAAATTCTTGATTACCACATGTGGCAAATAGTCACTGCCTTCTTTACATGAACTTGAGGAAAGGCGCCTTACATCATCCATGTAGCCTACTGTCAAATTGACTTCCGGTGACCGAAATTGACTCCAAAACTGCAGTTGACCTTGGAGACAAAAGAAGGTCACCACAAGGTCCCTGTGGTCCATTTAGGTCACAATGTCGCGTGCTCCAAGTCGTTGGTACAGGCCTGCACTGACCCAGTGTGCCAGCCACATCCCAAACTGGGGAGATGGGTCAAGGTCATCCGATCGAGCCAGGGTTTGGTGATCTGATAGATCAACTCCACTTTTGTTCTTCCTTTTTAAAAAATGGCCAACCAAAAGTTGTGACCTTGACCTGCTAGGGGCCTCGGAAATATTTCAGTTTTCGTCCCCCGAGCAATCCACCAATGAGGCCACGACCACTAGACCTTGACCTTCAGGCATGTCATCTTGGCCTGAATGACCCAAGTAGGTCAAAGTCATCTGATAGGTTCAAGGTCACCGATATATTATCATCCGGCCAAAGTGCTCCAAATACGCGCGGAAAGCCAAAGTTCACGACCTAGGATGGACAAGTCATTGACATTTCGAATGACACAGGCCTTTGATCTGACATTTGACCTTGTGGTCGAAAATCTCCTAAAACTTCGGGTACCCACGGACTGGTCCCTAATTTAGGTATTCGCAAAGTATACTGACCCTGGGGAATCGCCCATTGACCTCAAAATTGACTTCCGGTGACGCAAAATGGACGAAACTGACCCACAATATGTCAGTAGACCCTTACCTTGACCTCTGAGGTTCAAAATGTCCTCACCATGCGTCCACAGGGTCGATTAATGTAAGGGGCAAGAACTCAGGATTGAACTCAAACTTTGCAGCTTGGACACGCCTTACTAATCAAATGCCATTTCTCTGCAACTTTTTGGTTAATTTTGGAACTTATGGTCTTTTGAGTAATCAGTCAATAGTATAGCAAAACCTCGGCAAAACATTCCCAAATTGGCAGGAGGGCGGGGGCAGATATAGAAACAATTTGCAGCTGAAATTTTTAAGACATGTAGGCCTAATGCTTTGAATGCACTGGACTCCAGTGCCAAACAAAAATTGTTATCTGTGAAATTGTTATCTCAAATTAATATAAAGCCTCATGCCTCGTTCACATAATCGTCAATGGCCAGTGCATGGATTTGAGAAGCTTAATTTAAGCAGCAGCTTAATTACAGTAAAATTACAGATTCAGTAAAAACGATGGTGAAATATTTTATTTGTAAACAGTTTTATAAGTATATAACTGATTAAGAAACAAGATAAAAGTTGGCCCATATTAAACAATATCTTAAAATATGTTAATGTGGTTGCAGGCAAAAATCTTGTGAAGATTTGCTCAACGCCAACATGTTTTTATATCAAAAATTTCGAAATGATTTTGGCCTCATTCAAATTACCATAAACTGGTATGTTCCAAGTTTAGGAAAATGGAAAATTTAGAATTTTGTTCTGTAACATGAAATATGGGCATATAAAAATATCTAATTATTGTTTAATATAAGTATTAAAAAAACTAAATAATGTTTAATAATTAGGGAAATACAAATATAAATCAACTAATTATTGTTTTATATAGGCGTATAAAAATAACTTAATAATGTATACTAATTAGGGAAATACAAATATAAATCAAAATCTCTATCTATAAGTATATATATTTCATTAAGAAATGATATAATCTATTCAACAGATGAATTATTTGAATTCTGACCTCGTTCTATGTCCATATGAAATATTATGTTCCCCAAACACAACTGACAATAATACAAACATGTGAATATTTATATCAATCTTTGTAGGCTTTTCTGACAATCTCTAGACACTGGTATCATCATTTTATAGTATACATGTATTCTTATTGTAGTATATAGTGAGTGTACAGTATTGAGAGCCGGCTACCTAACCCTAACTCATATCTAGGAAGGAGGAGGTAGGATTTTCCCTAGTCCCCTGATCAACTGGAAATGTTTACTCACTATTGACCTTACACTGTAAAATACATAATCATGAATGAACAATTATAACAGTAGATATCTGTCCTACAACTTCATTAAAAAAATACTATTTTGGCAATAACAAGATAATAATTTGTTTAATTCAAAGTAGCTAAGTCTCTAACTCAATATCATCCAAAATCTTCAACATTGAAAACAGATCTATTTGTCTGTTTAAATCAACATTGATGTTGTGACCTTACCAGGAAAAGATGACCTTCTGATATCCAAAATTTAAGACTAAATAAACATTTTACAATTGGTACATGAATCCTGTACCATAATGCGTTTCAGCGCTATTTGTAACAAGGGACTCGAAAACCAGGCTAAGCATATTCCACAAGTCATCTCAAACGGTGACGCAATATTCTTATCTGGAGAGCATGCCCAATAAATATTATCGGCGTAGACTGGAAAAACCAGACGCTAGAGATTGAAATTCGGTTGAGAATACTGGCGTATTTTGCCGAACCTAACTGATTAGAAATTACAGTAAAAACAGAAACGATTGAATGTAAATCAATTTATATACATTGATATTGCATTTTTGTATGCGTTGCGACCCATTTGCGTCAATTTCTAGGTCCCAAATATTAGCGACTTAGCTCCTTTAACATCAGATATTTTGATTACAATAACAAAAATTTTCAATGGAAAATACGAACATAAATCAAAACCTCTTATCTATTAAGAACATAATTGATTAAGAAATAATATACTAAACAGCAAAAAAAAACCAGTACGATTTCAAAATCAGAGAGGGCCTTTAATCAAATCATTCTAGAAAACGACTTACTAAATGGATCAAAGCAATTTTTTGTTTTGTGAACAGTATGTAATTCATCACAATTCCAAGACATTACGAGACGGTTTAGAGTCTGTACACAGTCTATACATCAGCATCTGGTGTGTCCACCGCAAGTGTCAATAACAGCAGCGCAGGGTCTGTACATGGAGTGGACCAGACGATTGATGAATGCCATTGGCACCTGGAACCACACTCTCAGAAAAGCCTGGCGCAATCCATCGGCTGTGTTTGGTCTCAGTACAACGTTATTAAGTCTCCTCTGAATTTCATCCCAAAGATGTTCAATCAGGTTTAAGTCCGGACTAAGGGCTGGCCAGTGCATAATATTAACACCGTTCTGTTGTAGAAAGTCCTGAGTAACTCTGGCGGTGTGGGCACGGGCTGGAAAACATTTCGATGACGTGCGAAATAGGGTATCACTTGGGGTCTGAGAGTTTGATCGATGTAGCGCACTGCTGTCATGCCTCCTCCTTTCCCTGGACCAAGATTTTGGAACACCACAGGACCCACTCTCTGGTTCAGGCCGATTCCACTGCAAACCATTATGCTTGGACCTCCCCATAAGTCTCGTTCCATGACACATTTGTCAGAATAACGCTGGCCACGTCGACGCCATATTCTGGTCCTGCCATCTGCAGTTGATTCGGAATACTGACTCATCTGTGAAAAGAACAGTTCCCCATTGCCTGTGTTGCCAGTTCTGGTGTTGTTGGGCAAACTGTAGACGTCCACGTCGATGGCGAGGGGTGAGGATCGGTCCACGGTAAGGTCTACAGCAATGGATGTTCTCTCTGGTGAGACGTCGGCACACTGTATCGGTACTGATGGGTCTTCTGTGTGTTCCCATTGTACAACATGCTGTTTCTGAAGCCTGTGTGAAGGGATTCTGCACGTGCTGTCACACAACATGGCGGTCTTGTCGCCTTGTGGTAACCCTTGGTCTACCAGTTCGGGGGCGATCATCCGTGGTGTTGGTGGCCTGAAAGCGTTGCTGATGCCTGTAGATGGTCCGAACACTGACCTGGAAGTGATTGGCAACGGCTTGGGCAGTGTGGCCAGCATCGAGTCTTCCAAGCGCCTGGTTCCTCTGAGCTTTCGTGAGTCATGGCATGCTGCTGACGTGTAGTGTGAATGATTCAACCAGGTATGGAGTGCATTTTTATAAAGCTGGTCCCTGTAACAGCATGTGCAGCATCAGTTACATGAAAATCATGGAGAACACATTACCATCTCAGAAGTCAGTTTGCATTTTTGAGAACATTTCCTGGGTTCAATTCTGTGTTTGGGAAGGAGCCTTATTGCTCAGGTAAAGTTGGAGATGTGGTCACAAATATACAATAAAAACATTTGGCAAGTTTTATGCAATGTCTCTATTCAGAGTAACGTACCAATCTGACGTTTCTTTTGCTGCTTAGTATATATTCTATTTTGACTGATGAATTATCAGTTGGCCCACATTAAACAATATTCTAAAATATGTGGGTATAGATAAAAAAAAAATCTTATAAAAATCTCGACCCCACCACCTCCCCCTTATATTTGAATGTCAAAAATTTTGAAATGATTTTGGCCCCATTCAAATTACCATAAACTGGTATGTTCCAAGTTTCGGGAAAAGGAAAATTGTTTAATATAGGCATATGAAAAAAAACTAAATAATGTATAATAATTAATTTGTCCAATACATTAAAATATGATATTTTGGACAGGTTGATTTAATTCAGTTATCTACATATCAAGGTGTAATATATAAAAACAGAAAATTGGTAAAACAAACAAAAAACAAAAAATAAAACAAGTTCTTGTATATCAAAATGTCATCACTGCAGATAGAAAAAAACCCGTGGGGAAAAAGAATCTGCTTACTTTATGTGGAAAAGCGAAGTTCTCGCAGTAAAAACCACATAGGTGGACCAGTAGATTGTTTACCTATTAAAAACTGTTTGTGCGATTATTCCCATATATTTAAGGGCAAGGTAAAGTGACACCATTTTGTCACAACACCTGAAATGGGGGGTTCTCAAAAAGGGATTTACACCAGCTTTAATGCAAATATGTTGGTATCTACATGTGCCTGAGATGATATAGAACAATAAAAAATGGATGGAAATCCAAAATAATGACTTTGAAATCAAATATTTACCAAATAATGAAGCAAATTCCTAAGTCAGGACTGCGCAGCTACAAGTTTTATAAAAAAGAACACATTAAAATTAAACTGGCTAAAAGTTGCTCAGATAATCAAACTCCAACCATCAAGACTTGAAATCTGAAAAAAAAATATCAAAAATTAGTTATAGGACCTCAAAGTTTTCAAATATTTTGTAAACAAAAGGCCATTTTGTTTCATGCACTACTTTCACTGCAGATGTATGGTGTACCACTAGTGGCACAGTGGACAGCAATATTGCCCCTATGATATGAGGTACACATGACATTGTACAAATAGCCTTCATATTCCGGATATGACATCTAATTACAAAAATAGAAGCCTTTTTGCAGGGATTTTTCATGACTTGAATACAGGGCTATATTACAATGTATGTATGTCTGCTAAGGCTTATTACATGTATATAGTTATACCATAATGATGAATGTATTATTTGTGTGAAAGGGAAAGACACAGAGAGGTTTAATGTCTTCTGGACACAAACTAGGACATTTGGAACTAATACATGGTTCAAATTTATTTCAATAATACGCTCGTGTGTAGGTGTCTTTAGCAGTGGAAAGACCTGGAGAAAACCCATGAGGCTTGACAGGCGACCCTACTGCCTGTCACATACAAGTGGACAACTGAAACTACTCCACTGGACTCAATGACAGACCTTGTGATCAAATGTGCACGTGTTAAATGTGCACAATTTGTTATACCCACCTGTTATTATATTAAAGTCAACAAATCCTAAATCACATTTCAGTTCCTGGCCTATATTTCTGAAAAATAAATAATGTAAAGGTGTATTTTTCAATTCATTTTCTAAATCCAGCACATACACAAATTCTCAATATACATGTACATGTGTAAAACATTCAGCATTATTTGCAAACTTTCCAATGGGAAGTGATATCAGATGCTCTAGTTAATTAGATGCTGACATACATGAATCACATCCATTCACAGATGTACAATGTTTCTGTCTTCTAGAAGGCCTACATAGATTTGTAAACTTGCCAACAGGGTTTGCGTAATATTAATAGTGATATTTTGGGCATACCCTGCCCATGCACAACACTTGTCACTTTGCAAAAGTGTAACTTAACTGTCTAGATAGGAAATGTTTTTGATTGGCATGTATTTAATGGTTGCTTTTGGTATGCTAGATTTAAAAAAAAGACAGCTACCATTGTAGATACATTAACCATATTCACATATTTTATTTGACTCGGAATGTTTAATGTTTTTGAGGTTTTTTTTCATATAAATTGACAATACGTACCATTTTAAAGTTTTTTTTATCATAAATGCCACGTAATTTTTAATGCTGCTTTAAATTCCATAGAAATCATAGTTTTCCTTGTTTATCTGTCAAATTACACAAGTCTAACTCAATATCATCCAAAGACTTCCACCTTTTTGAAAATACAAATTATTTGTCAGTTTAAATCAACATTGATGTTGTGATCTTACCGGGAAAAGATGGGCTTCTGATATCCGACATTTAAGACAAAATAATCATTTTACCATTGGTACACGTGTCGTGTACCATAATGCGTTTCAGGACCTTTTGTAATGAGGTATTCGAAGAACGAGGCTATAGACATATTCCACAAGTCATGTTAAGCAGTGATGCCCTATTCTTATCTGGTGAGTATGCACAATAAATACTATTATTGTAGACTGGAATAACTAGACGCTAGAGATTGTCTTTCAATTGAGACTTCTAACATATTTCGCCGAACATAATTGAATTGAAATTTGAGTAAAAACGGAAACGATTGAGAATGTAAATCAGTTACATTATTATATGTGTTGCTACCCATTTGTGTCAATTTTTAGGTCTCAAATATTAGCGATTTACCTCCTATAACTTTAAAGCAACAGGGCCACCATAATCTGTGTAGATTATCTTGTTGTACACACCATGGGACAATAGTTGAATGTGATAAGTAACGTCAGAAAGTTCAAATAATTCTTGTAGGTGTAACCGCGTTTGTTGGACATTTTGCGACATTTTCACCATAAATTTACGCCTCAGTGATCACAAGATCGGTTTAAAGGGTCAGTGGTAGTAAAAAAAATGGTCTGTGAGTAATGTTTTTTATTTTAGACTTTTGTATCCAAGGGCCACTGTTCTGGTTTTTGAAATAAATTTTTCATCTTTTCAGGTGTTGTGACAAAATGGTGTCACTTTACCTTGCCCTTAAAACTTCAAGTCCTTTAAAACAGTTCACCACTTCAACATTTCAAATCATATATAGTCTGCAGTCCATTAAAGATTTCCTTGTTGAGGATGACTCTTCTCAGATAAAAGTTACCTGAAAAGGGAAAGAAGAGCCAGCAGCAACAAAGAACAATTTTAAACATTTATAATAAATACATGGATTTAACTTTTAAACACAAATAATATATATTTATGCATTGTCAATGTAAATAAATGGTTCGGTTACGTCACCCAAAGACAACTGGTAATATAAAAATGTGAATATTTATATCAATCTTTGTAGGCTTTTCTGACAATCTCTAGTGTCTGGTATTACATTTTGAGAGCCAGTTACGCAACCCTAATTGGCGAGTTGGATGGCCGAATGGTTAACGCTTGCGCATCTGATCATAAGGTCTGCCATTGAGTCAAGCGGTGGCGTCATATTGTAAAACCTGTGGTTACGATGCAAGATATGACCACATTTTGCAAGAGATGGCCAGAGAACAAGCTAAAAAAAAGTGATTTTTCATACAATCAGGGGCCATAATCCAGGAAGTTGAATATCTATAGGAACCTAGATCTTTAGGATGTAAACATATTTTAAGTTTTATCAAAATCAGATAAAAATTGTGACCTTTACAGGGTCCACAACCTTGGTATTACATACTTTGACACTATTTGCGTACAAGGAGCGGCCATTTTGTCAGGCAGTTTTGATCAGATTTTTACGAAATTCAAACTCAACCATCTTTATGGTGCAACGGTGTTATATTTAAATGGTTTTTAAAATTGGATAAAACACGATTTTTCATACCATCAGGGGTCCACAATCCAGAAAGTTAAGGTCTGATATCTGCAAATACTGAAAGGAACCAAGTTTCATCAAAATTGAATATAAATTGTGACTTCTAGAGTGTCCACAACCCTTGGTATTACATACTTTTACACTATTTTCGTACAAGGGACGCCCATTTTGTCCAGCAGTTTCAGTCAGATTTTTACGAAATTCAAACTCAACGGTGATATATTCAACCGTTTCTTAAAATTAATTGCAATTGTTCGAACAACCAGGGGCCATAATTCAGGAATTGACGTTTGGATAGTCGTGATTATCAAAAGGAACCAAGATCTTTGTGATATAAACATAAATTTAAAGTTTCAACAAAATCGGATCAAAATTGTGGCCTCGAGAGGGTCCAAAACCTTGACATATCATATTTTTACACTATTTGCGTATAAGTTTGTCAGGCAGTTTTGGTCCGATTTTTACAAAATTTGAACTCAACCGGATAATAATTGTGACCTCTAGAGAAATCCACAAGCTAAAAACGTGATTTTTCGCACAATTAGGGACCAAAATCAAGGGAGTTATGATCCGATATGCGCGAATATCGAAAGGTACAAAGATCTTTGGGTTATAAACATTTATTTCCAAGTTCCATCAAAATCAGATGAAAATTGTGACTTTTAGTTTGTCCATCAGCTAAAAACAATCAGGGGCCATAATCCATGAAGTTAACAGTAGACATCTCTAGACAACTTCATTAGAGAAATACTGTTTTGGCAATAACAAGATTATAAAAATAAATTGATGACCATTGGCGATATACAGAGATATAACAATAGTAAAATCCAAATTGCAAAAGAACCTCATCAATATTTGAATTAAAATGTTACAGGTCTTGGATTTACATTTACACAGAAATGATTTGATGGACTTTTAGTGAGGATATAAGTTTAAACTACATGGTGAAACAACCCAATGTTATGTTCTAGAGAAATGAAGCACACTGCCTATATCATCGCCTAATGTGTGGGTTTTAATGGATCTTTTTCTGTTCTGTATCAGAAGCCCATAGCCTAATATGGACTGCCAACTACCAGTCATCAGAGACAACTGGGTGGCCAACCACAAGTCATCAAAGATAACTGGCCATGTCGAGGACCAGTGAATAAGGTATGCACACCAGAAATCCCAACAGAAGCGAGACAGAAGTCTCTAGTATATATCATAGATGTAAATCAGCCACAATTCAATTAGATTAACAATGTCATATACCTTGAGTTCTGGTCTGTAATTGTGTGTTGATCACAGTTCCCAAAGAACAGAAGTTCCAAATAGTATGGATCTATTTGTGTAGTTCTTCTAAGAAGTAATGGTAAGTCTGCAGCCTACAACCATTACAACCAATTCTAATATCCAGTTAATAACATAAAACCTGTCTGGCTAGAAGCCACCAGAATACAAGAAATCCGGATATTTTGCTCATTCATGTTATGTGTGGATTAGATAAGAAACTGATTAAGTATGAGGACTAGCTGTCTCACCATTTCGTCCTTGTGAAACCTACAAAAATTCTGTTCTCCAAACAATAACACAAAGAACCTGTTTAGACCTACAAGAATTCTAATCTCCACAATATAACAGAATCCAGAACTGCTGAAACCTGTTCCCGCTAATATCCAGAAAAAAACAATGTTATATATGTGGACTAGGGAAAATAATGTCGGTGTTGTGTTTTCTCCTGAAAGAGATAAACATCTTCAGTCTGTTTATATCGGTTGATGAAGGTATGATCGACATCTGCAGAAAATAACAGAACCCAGAACTGCTGAAACCCGTTCCGCTATTAGCCAGAAGACAACAATTTTGTATATGTGGACAAGAGAAGATAATGTTGGTGTTGTGTTTTCTCCTGAAAGAGATAAACATCTTAAGTCTGGCTGATGAAGTTATGGCATGTTAATCTATCTAGCCTAGACATAACAAGTAGACTTGATCCCTCAAGTAGCTTTACACCAAATTCCCACTGAAAGTCAATGTTTCCAAGGACCCCTATTTTAAAATGTGTTTTGAACTTGTCAACAGATTGTCCTTTACTGTACATATTAGACAGACCAATGAATAAATTTAGAAACTATATGTAGTACATACAGTACATGCATAAACCTGTTATTGCCAATCTAGAATTTCCCTATTCAAGTTCAATTTTTCAAAGTCAACTTCCTGGAACTGGTGCTGGGAGCAGTTAGTTACCTTAAGTTCATCAGGAAATATTAAAGATTCAAGGGTGAAATTCAATGCCTGTAAAACAAATGTTTTGCAACCGATTTGAGATAAATATTACCCTAATCGAGGGTTGATATGTGAAATAATTAAAACAAGACGCGAAAAAAAAAATAACAAGCTACGAGCGTATTTATGTGTGGAAACACCAAAACTTATTACCTGGTCCGAGAGTAATAGCTTATTCATACACAAAATTTGAATTGCCGTAACAGAGCCACACACCGTTACAATAGACATGCTTTGCACCACCTTGTACGAACTGATGCAATTAGCTTCTATTCATAGGCGTACGAGCCAGGGGGGCAGGGGGGCAGCTGGCCCCCTAACTTTCGGGCAAGCTGACTTTTCGGGCAGACGGGTAAAGTGAAAAATTTTTTTTATTTCATCTACTTGATAAAATAAAGTGCCCGAAATCTAATAAAACACTAATTTTACGTGCTGGAATAGCAGTAAAACGCGTTTGCGGACGTCAAATAATCCAAAATTTTTCTTGGGGGGTCCTTACAAGGTCAGCTCCGCTTCTTCGCCTCTCGAAGAAAACGGCGCTGCTGTCTGTAAACCTGAAATTTTTTCGGGCATTTCTAGTTTTGCTTCCCTGTCACCGAGCCCTAATAAAACACTAATTTTACTTACCGGTATCTTTTAATTGAATACCACGAATTTGTACTGAGTTGACTATGGATTAAAACATTTTGTCTGGAGCCACTCTACTTTGTGCAACATTTTTCCGGCATGGAATATTATTTGTGAATGCAGCTGGAACAGTCTGATTGAATGGTTGGAATTCAAAATGGGATTTACGTTACAAAACCATTGGATACTGTTGGAGTTTCTTACACGGGCTAGAATAGCAGAAAACGCATATGCGGTGGTTAAATGTTCAATATTTTCGCGGGGGGGGGGGGGGGGGGGGGTGAGGCCTCCATACTCCGCGACGATTGATTGGTTGTTTGGAATTCGGATCAGTCAGGACCAAATTGAAGTTGCTGTATTCACAGGCTGGAATAGCAGGAAAACGCGTTTGCGGCAGTTAAATTTTCAAAATTTTCTGCTAACGGTCCTGTCTTCGTGGACTGTAAACGATTGATCTTTTGATTGGAATTCGAGTCAGCCATCTTAATTAGGCTATAATAGACCACTTTGTTCAAGGACTGAAATAGCAGGAAAACGTGTTTGTAGCCGTCAAATATTCCAAAATTTTCTTGGGGGGGGGGGGCATGCAAGGTAAGCTCTGTTTCTTCGCCTCTCGAGAAAGACCGACGCCGCTGTCTGTAAACCCGAAATTTTTTCGGGCATTTCGGATTCTGCCCCTCTAACTGTCATCGAGCCCGTACGCCTATGCTTCTATTTTAGTATCTCTCAATGTCAAACAAACTTAAGTGGCCGAAAGCAATTAGTACATGTGCAATGACAAACAAATGAAAAATCATAAAGGAATTGAAAGTCAAATTAACTTAATCACCAATGAAATAAATTGAACTGAACTTGACAGTTCAGCTGGTATTTTATCCAGAATTGAGAGATGCCCAGTCTGCAGCCTGCCAGCACACTAAAAAAATCAATCAGAAAAAATATACTCTCCTTTTAAGCCAAATCGTCCAAACTGTACTCCATACTGCCTTGTCTTGCCTGCACCGCCTTCCATCTGTATCCACCATTGTGCATCCACCAACCTGAGTCCTAAAAAACAAACTTATGTGTCCAAAAGCACAAAAGCAATTAGTACATGTGCAATGACAAAAAAAAAAATCTTGAATGAATTTGAAGCCAAATTTTCTTAATCCCCACTGAACTGGACTGTTCAGCTGGTCTTAACACCAGAACTGAGAGCCACTCAGTCTGCAGCCTGCCACCACCCTCAAGAAAATCAATCAGAAAAATTGTACTCTCCTTTTAAGCCAAACTGTCCAAACAGATCACCATACTGCCTTGCCTGCATCTCCTTCCAACTGTGTCCACCATTCTGCATCCACCAGCCTGGGTCCTAAAGCCGAAAGCAATTAGTACATGTGCAATGACAAAAAAAAATCTTCAATAAATTTAAAGCCAAATTTTTCTAATCCCCACCGAACTGGACTGTTCAGCTGCCTTGCCTGCATCTCTATCCATCTGTGTCCTGTATTCTGCATCCACCAACCTGGGTCCTAAAAAACAAACTTCTGTGGCCGAAAGCAATTAGTA